CAGGGAGGTATTTTTCTTGCTGGTACTAAAGTTTAATGTTGATTGAATTGTATTGGTGTAGTCTTGTATCAGATGCTGAATTACTGAACACCTCAATGCCTTCACCTCTATCTTTAACACAAACTGAGGAGCAAGATGGAGGTAGTGAAGACGAGGACAGGAATGAACTGTTTGCCATTCTCCAAGAAGCAAGTAGTGATGAAGAGCCAGAAGGTGATGAGGATGCTGCTGATACACAGGAAGATGATGCAGATGATTTAAATGTTAATGTAGACATTGAAGATGATACAAATGAATTAAATGGTAAGTCTACTTTTGCCAAACAGCAAAATCAAATCAATCAACAAAATGGAAACTATGTCGTGGTTTCCTTGTGAAGCTGTTCATTTGAGAAACAAGTAGTTAATTTACATATTAACTATATATCTATAGTTAATTTTAAGTGGATTTCTATGGCCACTTTGTGGAAGGATCTTTAATTTGTAACTTCCTGGTTATATTTGTCTCTCTGATATACCAGTATTCCCAGTTTTAATGTCATACTTGGCCCACTTCCTTGTTTTTAATCTTTGGTTGCAACATTAGACATCACTGTTGTTCAGATGGTAAATCCCAGTGATAACTGTTAAAAACTTGTTAATAAAGCAGGAAGGTGGTTTGAAAGTTGCCCTTGAACCATTTTGAAGCTTGTTTTTTCTTTTTATCTAATTTGCAGTAGGTAAAGACAATTCTAAGTCTGAGATACATTCTGCAAGAGAGAAGCTTAATGAGATCAGGGCAACTATAACAGAGCAGGAAACCAGGGTGAAAGAAGCCTCTAACTTATTTCTCAAGGTACCATGTCAGGACTCTGTTCTTGGCAGTCTTTGTCATATAATGTCGTATAATTAGGAACCTTGTAGTGAAGATTTAATTTTTCATTTAGTTTCCTGTATCTCAGTGTAATGGGTAAACCCTTCATTTATGAAAAAAAGGCTTTTTTTCGGACCTGAAACTCACTGACTAGTATCTTGATGAGCTCAAATAGGCTTAATTTGGCTGGCCCAGCTAACTAGGGTTGAGATGGAATGAACCAGAATGAAGAATGCAAAGAAATGTAATTGTAAAATGGGTAGATCCTTCCACTTCGTTGTGTGGATTTTCCATTCTCATTTATATTTGCTTGTGAACTTTTGCAACAGTAACTGGCCAATTGGATGGATAATCACAGCCACAAAAAGATGTAGAAAGAGGAATAAAGGTTAAAAACACAGAGAAGTCAAAAGAGGGATGAGAAAAACATCAAAGAGGGGATGGGTGTAGTAAATGGATCGAATTAGTTTGTTCATTCCATGAAGGTTCATATGATCTTAATTTTTTCTTTGTATAGCTACGATTTGAGAAAGTTCTTGAAGAACTTAAGTCAAAGGAAAAGGATCAAGAGCAGGAGGTAATGACTACTCTCTTTTTTCATTGTTGTTAGCTATTTGAACTTTTTTTGCCAATATATTTTGATTTTTCTTTATTGTTTCTTCCTGGGCAGCTTCTTAGATTGGAGAGCCAAGTTTAGGATTTTGGTGAATGTCAGGCTGTAAAGGAGTTAGATTTTCATGTCATCTTTGTGAAGTCTACAGTATACAGTCCATAACAACCTTGTCAACTAGACTTTATGAATCCAAAGGACCCCTCACTGGTGGGGATTTATTATGGAAAATGACTGAATGATGTATAGTAACTTGGAAAAGGATACAGGAGCAGTTCAAGTAGACAATCTAAGCCAAAACATCCTCTCTGATAATGGTGGCCCATCAGCTTCATTTGCATGACACTCACTTATCATTAGATTTCTTACTATTTATTCAATGTGGATTAAGCCTTTCAGTTCCCAGCTCCCCAAGTAAGCAATGGTTTTGTCCTGAAAGTCTTCGGTGACTGTTTGGTAGGTTTTCTGCGAGATGTACTGTCCAGAAAAACAGCATTTCCATTACCATCAGGTGTGATTAATAGAATAGATGGATGTGTTGCCTGCTTTCAGAGACTCTTTTCCTTCTTTATCAAAAATTATCTTGTTTGAGCTCAAACTGAAAAGGGAATATGCTAATGAATACCAGGCTCTAAATTAAAGGCTATCAAATCAATAAAAGCAACGATACATCCTTTAAAGAGTATCTCTGTGTTCCTTAGACAAAAACTTTATACTTAAAATTAAAAACTGAATTACGTGACTTCAGAAAGGTTCTTGCATTTTAGGAGTTGCTTGTTGAATATTGTGTTAACCCTTTAACTCCCAGAAGTGATTCACATGTAACTTCTCCTGACAATATCCCCCCACTATCAAGCAAACAGGTCATGAGAGTTCTCACATATATCAGGTAAAAGTTATCTTGATCTAACACAAAATTCTTGCAACCAATTTACAAGGAAATATGTAGCAGCTAGAGGTGAGAATTGACAATCAGATCCTGGGAGTTAAAGGGTTAATGCCAATACGTGTTGTTTTCCAAAGATTTCATGTTTATTCACACTAAAGTTTTTTAAGGATGTGAAATACATCTTGACCTGTTTTGTCCACTACATTGCCAACTGGTCCAATCTAGTCTATTTTTTTAAATGAACTTTCACATATACTGGTATCCACCACTCATCTACAACTAGTATTTCTCTTTTCCTTCTTTTTCAACTAACTTGTCACTATTCCAATTAATCCATGTACTGTTTCACAAGAGCTTACGAATTTAATTACTAAGAACTGGGTTTGAGCCAGGCCGCGCCATTGCGCCAATCCCGCACTGCAATTGAAATTGTCCCTTAAAAAAACGGTCAAGGGGACAATTTGTCCCCTTCAAAATTTAGGGAAAAAACTCGAAAGGAAGCACACACGAAGAGTTTTATCTCGGTACAGAAATTGCAAGCTAAAACAGAACGTGGAAAGTATATTTTCTTGCACGTTTAAAGTTCATTCTAAAGTCACGTTTCAGTCACACTTTACTGAACACGTACGTCTCATGCTCAACCAAGCGTGGTGAACGCACGTGGCAATCTTTACTACGCTTTTCACAAACATGCGAACTCAAAAGTTCAAAAGCCGCCTTCACAATTACGTTTTTCGCTGCCCTCAATCATAATTACGATCACAAGCAACGAACCTTGAAACACAGAAACACACGAAACGGATTGAAATCCACCAATGACAAATCACAAACCATGACCTTTTGAACCCGTGAAAGTAAAATTTTGTTTCCTAAGAGTTCCGTTAAGATGATTGACGGCAGCGACAAAACCCAATCGTCAGTTGGCTTTTGAACTTCAAAATTCGCATGTTTGTGAAAAGCGCAGTAACATGTCACATCAAAAACGTGTTCGAACATGAGAAAGCTTTTTCGCTCGGAATCGAAGCCAGAGTGAATCAGAGAAAAATGATACAGAAGAAGAACAGTGTATTAATCAGGAAGAAACGAATGAGGATCGAAGGAAACCGAAAAAATCACGAACTTTCCTGAAAACTTGGTTGCGAGATCACACATGGTTGCGCTATGAAAAAGAGGCGATGTTCTGCTATTTTTGTCGGAAATCTAAGAAGACAAACCCCTTTGCAACGGTAGAAGGGTGTACAAATTTTAGAACCTCAACTCTGCAGCAACTCTTTTCTACAGCCCTTGATGTTTGGGCTAGAACCAACTGAAGAATTAGTACATTTACGTTTACCAGTGATTAAGAAAGGAATTGAAATTTTTACTAAGGGGACAAATTGTCCCCCAGTGATCAAATACTAGCTCAAACCCTGCTAAGAATGACACTTTTTTTGAACACACTCATTAATTGTGGTTTTAATAAGAATAACAAAAAGATGACTATGTTAAAAGCTTCATCTATGGAAGTAGCTCTTCCAAATTGGGCTAAAATACACATTTCTTCTGAAATACCCTTAAATATATATTGTGCCAATCATTTTAATAGCAGACCCTCTTTTGTAAACATAAATTCTAACACTCTTATAAAAATTAAATACAAGGTAAAAATACTTTTTAAGGGTAACTGTTACAAAAATAGAACCCAAGAATTCACACTGGCCCATCAAAATGAAGGGAAACACCAACAGAAAGGCCTGTGAGAACTTAAAGTAAATGATGGCTCTAAGAAGAGAGTAACCAAGTTGTTATTAGTCTTAGTTGTAAGTCTGGATAGCTTAGAAAGTGATGCAAGTCTTTAAACCATTCACAGGGCATAGTAAAGCAAAGAAATGCAATTCTGGATCTCTGGCAACAGATTAGGTTCAGTGATTTTATCTTAGCAAAGTCAAGATTACTCTCAACCACCCAGTGGTTGTTTTGTAACCACTGGTTGGTTACTTAGTTATTCCTTTCAATTCAGTCATAGATAAGGTATAAACCATTACTATAATAACTGGAAACTAATCAATATTGAGTATATACATACATACATACATACATACATACATATATATATATATATCTTATTAGTTGTTTTGGTGTAACACATTTGTTTGTATTTTGACTCGCAACAACGAGTAGAAATACTCAGCGATACAACACACCAAAACGTCTAATAAGTTGTTTATTAACTTCTTTATATTATTTTTATGGATTTCTTATCAAACAAGTCTTTTTGCAGTGCTAAATAACCAAATGCAAAAATAACCGAACAATATCCATTGGCGTGTTATTCGTACTGTACTCAATTCAATTGGATAACAAGAGTAAGGGCTCGTGTAATTATATCGATCCTGTACATTGATTTCCCAAAACAGCGTGAAAAGTTAGCATTCGTTTAAAAGACAAGCCCTTCGCTTTGTTGAAGAAGTACTTAGTGTAATATAAATGAAAGCAATACTGCTGTAATTTGTTTTAATCTGCCTCATAAACCCGCTTCTCTTTGGAAACAATACTTAGTGAAACCCACGTGAGAATATCCAGGTAGACCAAACTCTTGCACGCCGGGGATCATGTTGCGCAATTGTCCGTTCCCGCTGTCTTTGTCCAAGAAATTGTGGTAAATCAATGTTATTTTGTTATGCTTGCCCTCTCTAACTCTGCAGATGTGAATGCTAATGGTAACAGCTCTGAAATATTGATTTTCTTGTAAGATAAATCCGACTTCACAAGATACACGTCACAACTTGATCCGAACTCAGAAATAAATTGTCTGCACGCTCCACAAGGAGCGATAAACTCTTCCATATCAGTACTTACGGCAACCGCTGGGAATTTTTTAAACCCCATACTAACAGCTTTGACCAGAGCAGTTCTCTCTGCACAGATCGACAAACCATAACTTGCATTTTCCACATTACAGCCATCTATGATTTCTCCTGTGTCGGTCAACAAGGCTGCACCAACACGAAACTTACTATACGGCGAATGAGAATATTCCTTTGCTTTTATGCTACGTTGTAGCAAAGACAACAGTATGGAGTCCTGATGGGTGTTTGAGGAATCTTGACCGTTTTCTGACATGCCTCTTAAATCCCCCTACTAGTTTGTCATTAACAATCGTTCAGCACCTGATTCTTGTGTGTGTGTTAATGGAAAGACCATTTAAGTCTGTTTACTTCCATTCTGACACGTGGGATGCGGTTGACTGACCACTTAGAATACTGTGGTTACCAATCCTTCGCAAACAATTGCAAAATGGCAATTTAATAATTAATAAATATTAATAAATTTAATTAGGTTTGAACTAAACAGCAAATGCAATTAATTTGGACCACTTGCGTCGACCTTCTCTGTTTCCCATCAGAGGGCAAATCAAAAATAACATGAAGATATGTCACTTTTTGTGGTGCAACAAAAGTGTTAGAAAACTGTGTGGTAAAAAATTGTTCTTTCATTACTTTACTCACAAGTCCAGAGATGAATTAGATCTCTAGAATGGGATAGGACAATTTTTCAGGAAAGGGTTGAAAACTTGAAATTCAGTTTCATGCACTAGAAGAAAAGTGACAACAATATTTTTTAATTGTGGTTGCTGTTTTTCCTGCTGCATTAGTTAATTTATTGTTTGCAACATGCATCTGAGCATGTTTTTAACTACTGACTCCATGCGTCTCTCGGCATGAAAGTTTTCCCTGCTGCTCACATGTGGCTTCATGGCTCAGTTGGTAGTAGCACCCATGTATTGTCTGAGAGACACAGGCTCAAATATGGCATCATGGCTCCGTTGTAGGTAGCTCAGTTGTAGTAGTAGCACCCTACTGTTGCAAGGCATAGGCTCAAATCCTGTGAAAGCCAGGTGTCTTTTAACCCTTTAACCCCCAAGAGTGACCAGCATCCTGTTTCTCCACACAATATCATCCCTACATCAAACAGTAAGGTCATGCAAATAAAGGAAGTGATTACCAACTAAGGAAAGCTTTTGATTGTTCAGTAAATTCTTCTGTCAGCACCCTAGGAACTGTATCAAGAACAATATGGAGAATATGCATATTGTTGCTGCTAGGGTTTGAAGGGTTAAGAGTAACTTCAGGCACCATTTGGTCCTTAACATTGCTTTAAACCACAATTTTAGGTACGATACATTTTGATATATTTTAACACAAAAATGTCCTGAATATTCATCATTGATATCTCACTTGTATGTTTTTCATAGGTTCCTGTAAGTCACTTTGCAAACCATTCCTTGTTGACAATGTCCAAGTGGGTTATATTTCACCAAAAGTTGCCAGTTATTTAAAGTCTTATGGTGACATATTTGTGATGGTTCCAGGAACTAGTGGTGAAATTAGTCATGTTACTTTGGCTCCAGAACTTAAGACTTTTACAGAACGAAGTCAAAAGGTTGCTGAGGTTATGAACAGTCTGAGATTAAAAGATGTGTTCAGCACTTTAAGAGGGTGGAGAAATGAGGCAAGTGCAATTTGTTTTAAGCTTTATTTTAGATTCATAGATAGTTAATTTAAGAACACAATGGAGCTTGATAGTGAGTACCATCAAGGTTAAGGTTTTTTTTTTTCCTGTCAGTTGAAGCCAAGGACTGAGAAAGAGTCACAAACCAGATAGTTATTACCATCATGTGGTCATTGATTCTGATAGGTTTTTTTTTTTTAAGAATAACTGAGACACTACACATACTCTTATATTGTTGGTGTGTTGAGATGAGAGTATATGAACAAAGCCATATTTTAGATTTAGGTATGTTTCGTGGAAATATTTGACAAAAGCAACAACCATCTAAACACTTCAGGGGCTAGGCAAAGTATTGACAGCTATGCAAATCTTCAACAGCATCTCAGGTTTGCATAACTGTTTTACATTCTTGTAATCACCTTGTGTATGGATGAGGTTTAATATTTAGAAAAAACAAATTAAAGTTCCTTTTTTGTAAATTATGTGTGCTTGAAAACTATGTTTGTAGGTGTTTGTCTCTTAGTAAATCAAAATTACATACAGTAAATATTATTATTAATATTATTTGATATAAAGATGTACCCTGTAATGGCTTCCTTTGATACCAAACCAAGCTTTATGATGGAGAGGTCAGCAACTTGTAAGTATTGAGTCCTGTCTCACATACAAGTTGACTGTTGATAATTCTATAACGTGTATTTGTTGTAATTTTTTTATGAACTGTAATTACTGTTAATATTTTTGTGGTTGGATGTGCATTGTTTAGAAATATTCTTTGGTTCTTTGGAAATTTCCTAGGCAGGAATGTCATAGGGAGTGGAGTCCGTGTTTATTGGTATGGGTGTTTCCAGTGCAGTGAAACCTGTATGGAACAAACCCTATATCATAGCAGACACCCTGTATAAGAGAGACAGTTGCCCAAGTTCCAATGAGAGTTTTCATCCACCTTAAATTAATCAGTAATCGGAAGACACTTCTATCAATAAGACCAGTATTAAGCAGACCAGTATTAAGCGGTTAGTTGTTCAAGTCCTGAAATTTTTTCCCTTTAATGAATTGTGGTGAGATTTGCTTTTATTGAGAGGTTGTGGTCATGACACTTCAAGGACATAAATACTGCCTCAGTTTACATGCTTCCCTTTCATGAATTCAGTGGTTGCTTTAAAAAACTTACTCAACTACATTTCCATTAGCTTAGGAACATGCCCAATTACATAAAATTTGTCACTCAAGTTGTTCAGGTGAGATGTTAATCTTGCAACTGTTGTTACCATTCATCATTAGATAAGAGTACAAATAATTTTGTTTACATGTGAAATTTTGAATCTCACAAAAGCCTGGATATATTATGTCAAATAAACTTGAGAGGACTCGAGGCTACTTTCTAGACAATTAGAATGGGTGATGGTGGCAGCAAATGTTGAATTTTTGTTATACTCTTTGAACAAATCTGACATTGATTTCCCTGGGGAAAAAACCTTGATGACTATACTCAGTAAAACCAGTACTACTTAGGGTATTTTAACAAGTTCAAAGGTATGCTTGAAAGATTTCCTCTCACAACTTCCACATGTTTAAGGAGTTACCTCACTTGAAATTTTCAGTGGTCAGTAATCTTAATTTTTGATTGATGTTTTGCCTTTATCTTGGGAATGGACCTTATTAGGCCTCAACCCTTTAACATTTTGACAAAGCTTGAGAGCAGTGCATTGAACTGAAATGTGTTGATTGATAGCTGTGTTTCTATGAGGATATTAAGCGTTTGGGAAGATTACTTCTTTTCCTGATATCTAATACTTAAAAAAAAAAGTAAAAAGGACAGCCTACTTTTAAAAAAGGCCAGTATTTATCCTTAATTTTCATTTTTTGCCATTATGCCAAACATTTTAAAGAAAAAACGTTCAAGTGCTTTTTGATGGCACCCTCCAAATACGTAAATAAAATTTGGAAACTACCGTAGTACATCAAGGCTCCTACAATTTTCATCATTTGATCATTGCGGTCCTAGAGTCAGTATATCATGATGTGAGACAAGTCATGCAGCTTACACGACATATATTATGATTTGACCGCTGTTTTGTAACCCTGTGTGTTCGTACATCGGATCGTCCGTCGAGGAATGCTTTTGTCCTCTGATGAAGGTCGCTGATGTGCTCGCCTTGTCGACCTTGTCTTTTGCCGCTTGAACTACTACATCAATTGAATCCTTTACATTGTCTGTTTCTCGCTTGAGCGAAAAGTCATCTTCCGTGACTCCCATTGATATCCTCTGATGAAAGAATTCACTGTAACCAACATTTTGACCTCAGCTGCTCTATCTTACTCGTTCCTGGTTTTCGTACAAGACAGCTACACAAGGGAAACGGAAGCGTTAACTTCATACTGCACCAATTAAATTAAACAATGAAGTTTATGGTTGACCTAATTTAGCCGACGTTTTAGCGTCTCTCAGTTAGAAATTAAAATCGCGATCGATCATAAGGAAAGTCTAATTCAGTTTTTTTTTTCTTTGCACATCAATACGGTCATGCCGCTTTGCTGGATTTGTAAAGCAGAGACAAATTATCACTGTTTAAGCTGCCAAGCGTATGTCTGTAACAGGGCAGAATGCTCTGTTTTGGCGCCTGAAGAAACGCTGTACTGGAAGGCTGGCTTTAGTGTAGCCTTTTGTTTGACATGTTCACATAACACCGCCGACGAAAGTGTTGAGGAAGAAATCAACCAAACAGAAGTCTCACTCACAAGAAAAGAAGAAGAAGTAGACGCTAAGTCAAGTACATCTCAAATGAAAAGTCAAGGTGGCACCAAAGAAAAAGTCCAGGAGAAGCGGAAATGCTTGAACTTACAGCAGAGAGTTGAGATGATAGTGTATGCGAAAGATCATCCAAAAGAGGGATACCGTAAAATTGCTGAAAAATTTGGCATTGGGAGAACACAAGCACATAAAATCTTAAAACAAAGAAATGAAATACTAGCATTATATGAAAGAAATTCTCGGCCAAATCAGCAAAAGAGGGTCCGTTCTGCGAGGTACTCAAAAGTCAATGAAGTACTACTGCAATGGTATGTCATCTGCAGAAACTTAAATATTGCTGTTTCAGGAACAATGCTTCAAGAGGAAGCTTTGTTGATTGCAGAAAAATTGGGCATTAGTGGCTTTGCTGCATCTAATGGGTGGCTAGAGTCATTCAAGAAACAGCACAATATTCACAATATGATCAAAGCAGGCGAGAATGGAGACCTTTGTGAGGCGACTATTGAAAGCTGGAATGAACAGGTCAGACAGTTCATCAGAGGATGGAAGCCAGAGGATGTGTGGAATATGGATGAGACAGGGAGCTTTTGGAGAGGATTACCTGAACCCAGCCTAACTGAAAGGGGGAAACGATGTAGTGGTGGAAAGCAAGCCAATGAGAGAACTACATGGGCATTTTTTGTTAATGCTGCTGGAGGAAAGGAAGACCCAATTGTGATTGGTAGATATTTGAAGCCACATTGTTTTAAGAATGTAAATGATTCTAAAAGACCTTATCAATGCTGCTATTTTGCAAACTCAAAAGCATGGATGACAAAAGAAATAATGGCTGATGTCTTGTCCCAACTTAATGAAACCTTGATTCGAAAGAAGAGAACTATCTTACTGTTCTTGGACAGTGCTCCATGCCACTCCCCTACCTTGGCTGAGAAGTTTTCGAACATTGGCATTAATTTCCTGCCTAGTAACACAACATCAAAGACTCAGCCCCTTGAGGCGGGTATAATTGCAAACTGGAAAGTGAAGTACAAAAAGCGGTTGCTTCGCTATGTGTGCTCCAAGGTGAGTCAAGGCGAAAGCACCGGCGAGATCGTCAAGTCCATAGATATCTCTATGGCCATCCAGTGGGGACGACAAGCTTGGGATGAGGTGTCTCCTGAAACAATCCAAAGATGTTTCAAGAAGACAAGGCTCTACCCAGAAGGACTCGTGGAGGAAGATGATCCTTTTGAAGGAGAAGATGAGCTGCAGCAGCTTCAAGAACTAATCAACAGGATCAGCTCTTGTGATGCTGGAGCATTTATCTCGGCAGAGGATCAACTCGAAGTATGCCTTGGTATCATTGAAAGCTCTGATCCAAACTGGAGGAAGTCATTACGTGATCAGCTGCTTAATGAGAAGAAGGAAGAAAGTAGGGAGGTTGCAAATAGCTTAGCAGATGAGAGAGCCCCTAAAATTGATGAAAGGTCTTCTGGGGGGAACAAAGAATGTGACCCTGAGTTGAAACAACCAGCTATTAGGACAATATCAGAGGCAGAGAAAGTGGCAGAGCAACTGACAGACTTTGCCTATTTTAATGGCCACCGGGAACTTTCTTTGGCATTAAGCCAAGTAAACCATTTGATCCATGAAATCAAACTGCAGAAACCAAAAAGCTAACCACTGATTTCAAATTACCTTTCTTGTTAGATAATAGCAAACTTAAACAGAGGTGTTTTTGAGATGTGAATGGCAACTGGCAGAATAATAGGACTACTTCATATACACTTTGATGCCATGGTATCAACCACAGGGTCATCATCCATTTTTTTTTTCAAAGTTATTGTACTTTGGCAGGAAAATCTGTAATTTATCAGAGCTGGAGAAACCATACAAAACCTACTTTTAATCTACCGTACTTAAGTTTATCTTTCACAAAAAGTGTGCAATTGAGTTGTTTATTGCTTGTGAGACTAAGAGTTAAAACAAGTTTCCTAAGAAGAAAACCATTTACTTTAAGTTAGTAACAAATTTTGTTTTGTAGTGCTGGATGTAATATCTAGCTATGAGAAAACAAAAGGCAAGTTGACATGTACATTTGGATGGATTTGATCTTAGTCCTTCTGCCACAGTCTATTTTAAAACAGTATTATGAGGTACAATTTGATGGTGTTTGATTCTACAGTCATTGCATATCTATCCTTTTCAGACTTCATTAATATTGTTGCTTACATAATTGTTGTTGATGTTTGTGTTAAAATTTCTGCCACATGAATTCCATAAATTTTGTGTGAAAGGCATAATGACTTGTAGAGCAAGAAAGTTTTTATCACCATCATTGAGGTGTTGTACTTTACTAATACTATAGTTGTACTGTATTTTGAATAAAATAGTTGATTGTCAATTTTTCCAAGTGAGTTGTGCTGAATGCTTTGCTCCAGAAATTGGCTTTTGGAGGTTATGTGTCCATAAAATTAGTTTCTGACCTAAAAGGAGAATTTCTTTATTAAAATTTTCAGGGTTGCCAAAGATTTTTTCACTGTTTTTGATGTAAAGATTACATCAGATCTTGGCTTTTAAGGCTTTGATAAAAGATTAAATGTATATAATTTTTAAACCACCTTCTGCATAGTCATTCATCATTGCACTTTGTTCAGTGTTGTTGTCTTTTCTATTCCATTCAAAAATTATAGAATAGCGTCAGTGGTTCCTTCATGAATTATTTCCTTATTTGATTGTAGGGGGTTAAAATGTAAGCAGGTTGGGAAGCGAAAGGCATTTTTTACCCAAGAGAATTATTCTGCAACATTTCCTGTTGTTTTGGAAATTTTGGACTTTTTCTATTTTTCTTTAGTGTAGATTAACAGAATGGTTACCAATTAGCTATGAGATCTGTTGATAGCCTAATGCCTAAGGTTCCAATGTTGCATTTTTTTGCCGTCTCCATCTCTTTCTGGAAGGATATTTCTGTCCTTCCCACTGTTGATACCTTTCCAAAGAGTTTCTGTTTTCTTGCCATTTGAGTTCAGAAGCTTTGCCAAAGTTGTCAATTAAATTGAGAGCAGCTGTTAGGGAATTCTCTGATCAGTCTGATATTAAAGTCATATCCTATGACAAAGATGCCTTTAATATTCTCATTGTCTCTATTTTTTCTCTTATTTTTTGCAAGAACTTTGATCACCATAAAGAAAAGATTAGGAGATAGTGGCAGCCTTGTTTTACCCCTCTTTTGATTCTGTATAAGTTGCTTGCCCAACTGTTGTTCATGATACATCTTTCTATATTATTGTCTGTAGAAACATTTTATCCAATTCACTACTGACTGGAAAGAGTCCCACAAGTCTCTTCCTAATACAAGCGTCATTGCATCTTGTTATTTTGGTATCTTTTGTGGTATTGTATTTCAGGTTTGCTTGGAACTGTGCAGTATGGTGTTCATGTAAATGGATATTTCGTTGATGAAAATGGGAAAATGTTAATGTGGATAGCAAGAAGAAGTTCTACAAAACAAACCTGGCCTAGCAAACTTGATCAGATTGTAAGTGTCTCTAACCAGGGAAAAAAGTACTACTCACAGGATATTTAGTTCTGAGCTATTTCCTATTAGGATAAGTTGAAGTAGTTCAAGCCAAGTCAGCTTAATAATGACAGACCATCAGCAGTTGACTTAACATGCTGGCTTACTCATTATTACATTCTAGATTTATGACATCTAATGGTTTTCTTTTTTTTTAAGTGAATCAATGGAGACATGTGAGGTGTGATAAAGCTGTTTGCTCTTTCAGCAAATAACTCATAATAAACCAGCAGTACGCTGTAGCTTATTATTTTCTAGTGATCATGAGTATTGCCTTTTTTGTCAGCAGAGTTATTGTAACTAGCACTGAATTTTTATCTAAGATTTAATCAGGTCTTGCACTGAAAAATGTTTGTTATAAGAGTGTTAATCACTGAAAGTATAATTTATATAAATCAGCATTTTAGTAATATCTTCTCACCATTATGTAATGGCCTTGTCTCACTGTACTTGTTTGGTCTTGTCACATTCTTGTCTTAAAAGACAATTAATTGACAAATAATCATTGATCATTCATAATGCAATCCACAATCTGGTTTGTTTTTGAAATAAAGCATACAAGGGCATGCTGACAGGACCAAAGAGGTTTAGTGGCAAGCTTCTGGTAAGCTCTCTCACTGATATTTCTTCTCTGTTTTCTTATCACTCTGAAAGATGTTGCTTGATTGCTGATTAATAGTCAAAGTTTTCTCTTAACTGTATGACAAAACATTGATTTTGTTCTGTATTACGGTTACTTTCTCCTGTGAGAGTTTTTACAACAAACTTTTATTGTTTTCTCAGCCAGGTAATAATGTTGATGCCATATTGATATTTTTTTGTAGTCATCACCTCTGTGCTAAGATACCAAGTTGCAAAATTTACACTGGGAAATCTCAGTGTAATAAGCAAATCTTTATTCTCATTTCATAATTTGTTCAATTGTTTAGTTTATCAACTAGATTTTGAAATGTTCCTTTACCTTTTAATTAATATTTGTAAGCTTACCTGGTCTTTCTGTGTATGGTTAGGTGGCAGGAGGTATAACCTGTGGTGAAGGAATTCAGGAGACACTGATAAGGGAATGTGCTGAGGAAGCATCGATACCAGAAGAACTTTCAAAAGCAGCTTCCTCAGCTGGTTGTGTCAGGTAAATAAAGTTGTTTAAAAATTCCCTTTTTAGTGATGTATACCATCACGTGTTGAGTGTAATTTCCAGTAGAATGAGTAGGGAATGAAAACTTTCCATAATTTGAGTGAATGTCAACAATCATGATGTCACACCATCAAAACACTTCTGAATCAGTGTCTTTTTTACTTAAATGTTCTTTCTTAACATTTCTTTATTTTGTCTTTGTTGATCATTTAGACAAAGGAGAAAAGATATTTACTGAGTAACTGAAAGATATTGTCAGTAGGTTGTGATAGTTTAATTTAATTTTTTTTACCAGCTACTTCTTTGAAGATGAGAGAGGATTGTTTCCTGAAGTCCAGTTTGTTTGTGATTTGAAACTCCCTCGTGACTTTCAACCAATCAACAGTGATGGGGAAGTTAGTGAATTTTATTGCTGGCCTATGGAAAAGGTACCTGCAGCCTGTATTTATTAGTTTAGTTTACTTCTTCCTTAACGTGGTGGGTATTGCATCAGGGAAGTTACTCTTAATGTGTCATAAAGGAAGTTAAGTCAACAAGTGTTAGTTTTAGGTATATTCTGACCAATTTTATTTCTTGCATTCAATTACAAAGTTCTTTGTTAAACTGCTAGGGAATTTTGTGAATAAATAAAAAAACTAGAGGCTTCAATGGTATGTTTTCCCTGGAATGTTTAAATAGTCATAGAAGTGTGAAGAGAATTTTGAACAGAATATTCCTCAAGTTTACATTGTTTTGTCCTTTTGAGTAAAAAGTTTGATTTTTCTTTTACAGGTGAAGGAAAAAATAGCAACAGATGAATTTAAGCCTAACTGCGCTCTTGTAGTTCTTGACTTTATGGTCCGTCATGGCTTTGTTACACCAGACTGTGGTCAGCTTATATTCACAATGATTATTGAATAAATTGTCAGTTTGTGTTTCTTAGTTATTTGATTTTCAAGTGAAAGATTGAGGCTAACCTCAATAAACAGGTCATTTGAATTCATGAAATGTCTACAAAGTTTACAATAAACAGATGTCTAAGGGTTAAAAGGGTTATTGAGTTTCAGTTTGAATATCTCAAAAAGAAAAACAAAAAAAAGAGGAAAGTTTGCAAGTCTTTCATCATCTATTTGAATTTCGTTTCTCTTCTTTAACTCTCTCATTCCTTTTTCACCCATCCTCATTTCTTTGTCCTCTGTATCCAGACTTTGTTTTCAGCTTCCAGACAAAAAATGACCCATTTTCTGTATCACAACACCTGATCATTTGAGAGTGGCTCTTTTATCTCCTCCTGTCAATACTTTGCTTGGTTTCTTACGTGATTCCATGCACTGTTGCTCTTTTTTTGGCATAATCTCAGACAAGCAGTATGTTTAAAATTATTTGAAGTGAATTTTGTTTGGTTTAAATAAGTTTTAAAATGTTATATCATGGTAAATAATGCACCAAGTCATTATTATCTTGTTTTATTATTGCAGAACCTCATTTTGTTGACTTTGTTGTTGGATCTCACAGCAGTCTTCTCTAACAGGCAAAAAATGAAGGAACATGTAAAAGGGAACCATATTTGTAATGAAGGCACCCCCAAGTGTACATACACAAGGAAAATAGGAGAAATGGCAAGGAAAGTAACACTGGAGTCTTTTTCCTAATAATAACAATCCATTGACAATCTCAGTGTATACTTGACTGTATTTTATGAAAGAAAGTTGACTTCAGTCCTCACTCTTCAGTACAGTGATTTCAAAAGTGTGCCACAAGAGCTCTTTTGTACTGAGTTTGCAACAAGCAATCAGTTTAGCCAGAGGTGATCATGTTTTGGTGTTCAATAAAGGAATTGTAACTCTAAGAACAAATTTCCATAGTTGCTTTTGTCTCATAACAAAGTTATTAAATATAAGTATATATTAAATATAAGTACAAGAAGTAGCCACTTCTTGTACAGGACCATGAGGTCCTCAATCCTTCCCAGCCCATAAGGCACCTAGAATGTCTTGGTCAGTGCTATACTCAAAAGCCAGTTACTATTACCCTTAACAATGACTCTTTTGAATGTAACTGGGGTTTACTTGAGATATTTTATTTAATGGTTTAATTTAATGATAATAGTAACTCAGAATAACCATTAGTTATAATACTTGAGAGTAATTTTAATTTTCTGTAAGGCTCAACCTTCCAAGAAGGTAAAAAAAAATATTTGAGTAACAATAAATGTACTAATTTGTCTCTACTTCAAGACAATAACCAGGTAACACAAATTCAATGAAATAACTGTATACAAAGAGCCAAAATTTCTCTGTGTAGAAAAATAGTTCACTTTTTCTGTACTTCTATAGTGGTAATGTAAAATAATCAAATTAAGTGATCTGTTCTTCCTTGAGCATGGCACTTATAAAAAACAGTAGCTTTTTGGTACCAATTCGAAGCAGTTGGCGGGCTTGAAGGTGGATGCTTTATTTTACATAGAGCATTTATTCTTCCTTGCAACCTAACAAATGATCACAGAGTGAAAAGCTAAGCATGAAAGATGGATGCACTCATTTGTGACACAACACCAAGGCATGCACATTTTCATTTTCTCACAAGTTGGGACGTTTTTGCTTTAATTTGTCCTTGTGGGGTTTATGTCCATCTTTACTGGATTTTTTCTCATCCTTGCTTGGCCTTTTTTTGTATCTTTCCTTCTGTACTAGCTTCCGACTTTTTTCCTTTTTTTTGGTTTTATAGGTTTCTATTCATAAAAAGAAAATAGAGATGTATATTATTAAAACAGAAACTACACTAAGAATAGCATTTAGCATCTACTGCAACTTTAAACAAGTGCACAGACTTGGTGCCAACAGTTTTGAGGAATGAACTGTTCTCATCAAGGTGTTGCAAAGTTGAAAATTTGTGGCACATTTTTGACAAGCTAACTTTCTAGTGATGTATGTTGTACCACACTTAGGTATTACCAATCTATACCTGTTTTTCTGGATTTCTTTTTCTTTGGTTCCAGTGTACTTGCTAATACATTGTGTAGAAACCTCTTGTTGGTTACTGGAAGAGGGCATCTCTGCCTTACAGACACATGAAAAAAGTAAACTTGATTTATTAAAGCATGATCACTCATTGAAAATGAAGTCAAGAATGGGGTACCGGGAACAATATTTTAACAAAATTCACCTAGTATCTCTGTAGAAGTATTGAATTAACTTAAAATCAATCTTTTTTTTTGGTTCGTCTTACAGTGTAGTCACTTGGGATGTTTTGACTGCTTACTGCTAGTCTTCATCATTTGTATCATGGTGATCTAATGCCATTGGTGGATTTTGATCCCCATTGTTATGGTTAGTTCTGGTTTTCCAAGAGGTCTGACTCCAAGTTGTTTCCTTGGTGGTTTGCTGTTGTACTGGTGTCTCATTGTGTTTCTTGATAGTTGGTATCCACACTTCAGGGATTTCAATTCTGTTATCCCTGTTGATGTTATCAGGGTGAATTCTTATGTGAAGTCTTAGCTTCCTTGACTCTTCTGGTGTACCAGTGTGAGTCCTAATCAATAAAGTGGGTGGTGGCTGGTCTTGTTGGCATGCTTAGAAACAGCAGAGGTCTGGGCATGGGCTAAATGTATATCCCTCTTGTCCTCTCTTGCATAGGTCTTCCTGTTTCACCAATGTAGATTTGCCGCATTCACAGGGAATCCTGTAAACCATGCTGTCCTGTCTAGCTGGATTGACAGTGTCCTTTGGTCATACTAGATGCCTTTTAAGTGTTGTGTTGAACTCGAAGACCGTGTGGATTTGTAATTGTTGTAGGTAACAGCAAAGAGGCTCTGATTTACCTTTTACATAGGGCAAAACTGCTGTGGACTTGGACTGCCTCATAGACTCTCTACTTGGGGAGGAGTTTCTTGTTTTTGTAACCTTCTGTACAAAGGAGGAGGGATAACTGTTTGAAACAAGTACTGATGACAAATGTTTCTTTTCCTCAAAGTTGACTGTTGGTTTTGTCACAAGACATTTCACCCAGTCATACAAACACTTAATAATACTGTGCTTTACTGATTGAGGGTACTGATCAGTGTGAGTTGGTTTTCAGTAGACACAAGTGGTCAGGCATCTGTCTGGTTCCCTCATAACTGACATGTCGAGAAAGGTGATCTTGTTGTCTTTCTCAGTTTCCATGGTGAATCGAATGGTAGGTTACTGACTTCTGAGATGCTGTAAGAAACAGTCAACATAACTGTGATCCAGGATGGTGAAGGTGTCATCAACGTAGTGCTTCCAGATCTTGGGTTTCTGTGTTGTGGATTCTACCACTTGTTCTTCAAATACCTCCATGCAGAGGTTTGTAATAGCTGCAGAAACTGGGCTCCCCATGCCTGCACCCTGTAGCTGGTGTTAGTTAGAACTGTTACACTGGAAGTATGTCGATCTCATTGCAAAGTCTAAGAGGTCCGCAATCTGAGCAGGTGTTGTGTGGTCTGTGAGGTTTGGATCACTCTCTCACTTTTGTCATGCGGCTTCTATGGCACACTTGACTACAGCACCCTTGACCCCATTGCATAATGAAGACTAGTGGTAAACAGTTGAAGTGTCACAATCTATATCCCAGGTGACTACATTGTGAGATAAATGATTAAACAGTTTTTATTACCTACCACCCCTAACCTCTTTTATTAATTTTTTTTCCTTTCAAACAATCAAAGAGTTTATAATTCTCAATAGATCTAAGAATTTGTATTTCTTTGATCACCCAGGTAAATATTTGTCATTCAGCTTTTAACAGTGTCTGAACAGACTTAAATGACTTTTAATCAAGAGCATTTGTTCAATCTGTGTTCTTTTCATACACATTACTGAGATGAAGTTGATCCAAATGTTCCAATTTGCTGCTGGCCTGAAGATCACTGATTCACTCAATCTTTGGATTCTGCAAATAATTGATCTGCAAGGCTATGATAAGATAACTTGAGATAAAAAAGTGTTTGATGACTAGACAACTTACCATCCCACAGGTCCTACTTCTTCTGCTCTTGATTTGGCTCTTTTTGCTTCCAGCAAAAGTTCTTGTTGGGCAAGCCTATGTACAAAAAATTATTTGATCAACTTAGGTTATAAAAATTAATTAACCCATTTATCATCTTGCCAGCTTTCAGATGTTTTGATATGACCAGTGTGAAGTGAAAACAGGGATATAGAACAGTTTTGTCTCCATGAGTGGTTTTTGGTTTTTCATGCCACCTCTTACACATATTTTTTTTGGATTTATAAACACATCCATGCATTGATTAGGATTGAATTCCCCATCAAGACATGACAACAGTCCTCTAGCTCCCTCCCCCCACCCCCTGCTGAACCCACTTATTGTCTTACATCTCATGAACACCTGCACACCCAGAAGGAACCCCAGTGCTCACGCACTCACAGTAATGCAGGTATGCTGTGCTAAAAAAAAAACCTTCCCAGTTCTTGAGGAATCTTGGTGCAAGCCACGCTAGTAATGTGGTATAATCAACATGGACTAATCTTTAATGCAAAGATGTACTTCCTCTTATGCTGATAAACTGACGTGTTTGCTTATCAAGCAAGTGACATATTCAATTTTCTCTTGAAAAATGCCAGAATTTAAACGCATGGTGGGTATTTGTTGTCGTAGTCGGATCTCCTGTTGACATTGTAAAGCTAGTTTTCTGTTGTGATCTGCCAATCAATGAAGTGGTTCTTTTTATGTGATAAAACCTATATCTTTTTCCTTTCACTACAGAGTGAGAACAAGCTAATGTTAAAATTCGATAAAATGTGATTCACAGAGGTAAACGAAACTAGCTACATAAGTGTTAACCTTACCTTTCTAACTCCTCGTTATCCATATAGCTACACTGTATCATCACGGTTATTTATCAGTCAATGTGCATAAGGAGTACACTACATGCTCCATACATACAACATCATCTTTGCTGGTGGGCTCCAGGCTCCTGCCATCGGAATCTAGTCACTAAGAACGCCTGTCATTTATTGCTATTCGTGTTAGTCGTTTGAAAGAGAAATGTCGTTGTTCGGTGCTGTTAGTCAACCTTCCACAGGTGTGGGGTTTTCTTTTGGAACTCCTTCTAGCACAACTACGGGTTTTGGTGCCTTTGGAGTAAGTCAACAGGGAAATACAGCTAATAAGCCATTATTTGGCACAACGAGCTTTGGTACCAATACTGCTGCCAGCTTTGGTGCAGCAACTACAACGACTGGTTCAGTGTTTAGCTTTGGCGCAAAGACTACTGCCTCTTCTTCTTTAGGTATATTTGAAGATTATTTCTTCTCCCATTATTATTTCTCCCATTATTATGCTGGAAAGAGAGCAAGTACAAATGTCACTTTGAACTGTTCTCACATTTTTGCCTTGTTTTCATAATAATAATTTACATGGAAAAATTACTCAGTTCTGATTGGTTATGATAAATGCAGTTTTCAGGTAATTCAGTGCAGAAGAGAGTTAATTCAGTGCAGAAGAGGGTTAATTCAGCACAAAGAAAGTAACAAATCAGAAATTCTGATTGGTCAATAATCAAAGAAACTCACAGATAGCCAATCAAATGTGAGCCTTGGATGTTGCAACAAAATTTGAAAATTTGCAAGTGAAACAATGGCCGGTGTTTTAAGTAGGTTTTTTTTCGCCACTGCAGCTGAAAAACAGCTCAAACAATGAAAACACTGTAAAAAGTACTGCTTTTTGGTTGTCGGTTTGGAAAAAGTGGTGTTTATAGAGGGGAATTGCCAAGGAAATCGAAAATTATGAGCTGACCCAGCTTAACACTTTGCTCAAGAGATCCAACATGGAAATTAAAAACAAACATGGTTAAACCTTGGAAACAACAATTCCATTTCATCGTAAGTGATTCAGACACAGACTGAACAATTCCTTGAACTGTTTAGCTGGACTTTGAACTTTTTTGCACCTTAAAGATGTTAAGATATCATTGCATATTGTTGTTTTAATTGTACGTGGTTGGTTTGACTGAATGCAATGTTTGAATAAATTATTTTTGCACTTGATGCGCACACTTTGCTTATACTTAATTATGATAAGCATCTCATATTTTTCCATGTATATTATTAACATGTAATCACATGATTTTTCTTGTACAATTTGGAATAAACAAGCACTTGTTAATTTTTTCAAAGACCACAAATTGCACTCGCCCTATGTGCTCATGCAATTTTGTTAGTCTTATAGAAAAATTTTCTTGTGCTTATTTATTCCAAATTGCACTCGAAATCATGTGATTACCTATACAAATTGAATAAGAGAATTACTATATGTTTTAAGTGAAATCAAGAGACAATCATCAACTTCTTCTGAGAGACATAAAAAATTTTCCTTTGTGCAAATGATCAATTTTAAAAATCCAGTGGCCTGTGACTCACCCAGCGCACAATGCATTGCACATAAGTAATGTTTTAAGTTGACTTGTTGTGAAACCTATCATAGTGAGAAACAGCATTCAAACCAAACAAGATGACGGAGATTGTGAAAGCATTTTAAGATTTTCAGTGGCATTAAATCTTTGTCTGTGCTGTCCAGTTACAGTTTGGGTTAAGTCCCAAGCTGAAACAGTTCAAGGATCGATGAGAATTATATTTCATTCTTTGCTAGGCAAACAGCTATAGTGTTCCAATAAATCGTTAAAGAAACAATTTTGTTCGTTGATGCCATATAGTATCAGTTACAGTGATATGAAACTGTTCAGTTGATTAAACTATATTTGCCATCAGGTTTTGGATCAACAGTCACTTCATCTGCTCCTTCTCTAGGAGCGAATCTCACTGGTTTTGGAACAACTCAAGGACTTGGTTCTACAGCTTTTGGTCAGCCTGTAGCAGGTGCTGTTTTAGAAGTTTTCAAAACTATGGAACACTGATACTGTAACTTATGTATGATTCTTTTTGCATTTTACAACCTCAATCTATGGGCTGTAGCAACTGTTATAGGTGCAAGTATAATGTAACAGTTGCAACTTTTTAAGAATAACAAACATAAACTAGATATCTGGTACTCATCTTCTTGTGTTCTTACGTTGCTTTCAGCTGAGTAAAGGTAATTTTTTTTCTTTTCCTCTCAGGGTTATTTTCACAGCAGAGTAACCAGTCTGTACCCAACCAACAAGTTGCACCCTTAGCCCAGCTGGCTGTTGCTTTATCTCAGCCTCAGATATATGGTGATGAAAGAGATGGAATTATTGCCAAGTTGAACCAGGTGCAAGCTTATTGGGGAACTGGAAAAGGGTTTTATAACCAACAAAGTGCAGTTGACTTCACACCACAAAATCCATTTTGTCGCTTTAAGGTAAGGTGTTTATATCACAGATCCCAACTGCTGGGAGCAGTTTGGGTCTGCTTATCAGTCAATACATTTTTTAATTAATAGAAGAAGAAAAATTTAATAGGTACTCCCCAAGGGGCTTTTCAGCATCTATTTACATAACTTCATCAGATCAATAACATCAAAAACTAATGACTATTTACATTAATATCACTAATTATATCAAAACTAACAACTGTTTGCAAGAATGTGACTCTTAAGTTTCTCCTTAAATGCCTTTAGGGAGGCACACTGTCTTAATTCAGGAGATATATTGTTCCAGAGCCTCGCCCCTCTAAAGGCAAAGGACCGCTGACCAGATGCTGACCTAAAGAATGGAATCTGTAGAGCTTCACGATTTCATGTCCTATGGTTATGAATGTCTGATCTCTTAACAAACTTACTACTCAAGTAACTGGGGGCAAGATGGTTCATGCATTTATAAGTCATGACAGTGGCTCTGAAAAATAAAAGCTGATCTACAGAGAGCCAGTTTAATCAAAACTGTAGCAAAATTTTCAAATGTGATTGATTATTATCAATGTGAATTGAGCACTTATAGGACAGTGAATGCATCATGTTTGTAATTTGACAGTTGACATGTCATGCCTGTGTATGAGAACAGTACACATCAGGTGCATCCATTCTTGTTATGCATTTTGTTATCTGTTGTTGTTTTTTTTATGAAAATGTGTAACCAATGTATAGACTCCACTCAGTCCTATTACTAGTATGAATTTTATATGTAAACTGAACTAGACAAGTCCACTTTAATCAGGGCTAGAAACAAAGGCTGCTGGTCGGTTAAACTTCAGAGTTTCTTTTCAAGATGTTGTGATACAATAAGAGGTGTTAAGGTGGTTCTCTAGCTTTACCTCTTTGTCATCAAAGATGGCTCAAATTCTTGCTGGCTACCTGAAGAAAGGCAGTTAAGGCATTTGTTGGAAGTTATAACTCTTCAAGGTCACTAAAAAGAACTCTTCCCTGTTGAAAAAAAGGACAGTGATTAGTGGCTAACTGTGTTTGCCAAGTTTTATGTTCCAACCCAAAACATGAACCAGTTACTGGTAAGTCCTGACCGGTGATAAGTATTTACTTATCAAGGTTGATCTGGATAGACGATGGCAAATGTGAATGAAAACACAACAGGCTGACTTACTACAAGCTGTAGTAACAACTACCAAATGCATACATATTATGAACCTTTTTTTATGCATTGATTTAATAGGTTGTAAGCTATAGTCGCCTTCCTATGGCCTGTAATGAGGATGGTCATTTATCTCTTGAAATAAAGAAGAAAGAAAGTGATGTTCGTGCTTTACAACAAGGGATTGTAGATGGACTTCATAAGTGTCTAGGAAGCAAACCTACCATTATGGTCTGTATCGATGGAATAAAACCTCTGCCAGATGACAGGTAATCTACATAATTTTTTTGGTTTTACCTTGCATACTGTTCCTACAGACTCAACTTGTGAATAAAAGAAGATGTTCAGTTCCTCTATGTTGGGTTGTGATGTACAGACAAATCTTGGTCAAAGAAGGGAGTAAATTGGAAGCCTAATATTCAACTATTGGCAAGTTCAGGACAGCTGAACTGAGATAGATGCCTTCTATGGCTTCAGATGCAGGTCTGTGATATTGCTTAGAGTAGCAATCAACATGAAAAGTATTCGCTGCACAGAACAAGAAAGAATGCTAACCTTGGTTGTTAAAATGATTTCAGTTGTTTTCTGATACAAGGACATACTGCATTATCAAGTGACATACATTGTTATTTATATGGTCATATGCTTCATGTTGGTTCAACTGATATGCCTTTTAAAGACCTGAAGTAATATTTTAGTTAGGAGTTCTTAACCAGTGCACTGATTGTTATAAGTACATATTTGTTGTGTGCTGCATTTTTCATCAGGTCAGAAGTGGTAATGTATGTTGTTGAGAGACATCCAAATGGTTCCTCAAGAACTATACCAGCCACAGATGTCTTTTCACATCTTAATCAAGCCAACATCAAGGTAATAAACATAATGTTTTCCTCCTTTCTGGACCAATGAAAGCCATAGTGTTATGAGTATGTGTGTTGTTAAAATTACACAGGGCAAGTCTTTGGCAAAACAATAAAGCCTGCATAAAGAGTAGTTGTCAGTAATGTAACAAGGCTACCTGCTTACCTTTTTGGGTTGTCTCTACCGTATTTATTCGCCTATAAGCCGATCTCGGCTATAAGCCGAGACCCTAAACTTTTTCATGTCAGCAGCTGTTGCATTGAAATAAAAAATAAACACAAAACATTTGGCTATAAGCCGAGACCTAATAATTGCAAAGTACTCCATGCGTGTTGTTAACTGAGATGAATTAACATAAACCGAAAACAAAAGGAGCTTCCCTCTCGGGAAACATGCACCCAAAAAGTAGGTTATGAATAAACATATTCATTAAGTCTAATTTACTCAGTTGTTATTGGTCGTTTAATTGAAAGTAACAACAAATCACAGATAAGTTGAATTTAATGTAAATAAATAGAACCATGCATGACAAAACAAAACATTCACCTGAGTTCAGAATCCTGTCTCAAACAATCGCTCTCTTTCAAAGTTATCGTAATCGATCATCATGCTGAAAGTTCGTCGTTCTTCATACAACTTAGCGTTCAAACTAAAAGTCGTTGCTGAAGCAGAGGCCGTCGCTAGAGATTACGGAATCAGTGAATCGATGGTGCGTCGCTGGCGAAAAGATCAAAGATTAAAGTCAATGACCAACAATGATTTACATGTACCTACCTTTCGTGATCTCGGAAATTTGTGTTTGTTAATAATCGCTCGGCTTATAGTCGAATAAACATTGAATTTCGAATCTTGTTAAGCACCCGTAAATTTTTTTGGCGAAAATACTCGGCTATAAGCCAAACCCCCTACCTTGGCGAGAATTTACCTGTTCTCAGTTTAATTTGTTGGAAAAATCGCTTGGCTTATAGGCGAATAAATACGGTATATTGAGTACTAAGGTTCCAAAAACTACCAACTATACCTAAACCAAAACAACAGTCATTCCTTAACCATTTTATCATCTAAAACTGGCAGTGCCTACTTTCAATTATAACCTTAACAGTGATTGTGTTGAAGTAGTGCGGAAGAGCTGGTTTGTCTCATATTGTTTCGAGCCTTTGAATATATTATACTTTGTATGATCTGAAATGAATGATCGATCCCTTAAACCTTAAACACATTCTCAGCCTCAGCTCAATAGCCTTGGAATTTTAAATGTTTTACTGAAAACAAGCCTGTCCCCATCTCAACTGCAACAATATCTGGACAACCCTCCTGTTGGTATGTAACCAATTATTATTTTTTATGTTTCTGTAAATACTATTCCTAACTGTTAGCATTTCTGTAACTTACTCAGACAGTGTGAGTTTTACGGTTATCATATTGTGCTCAAAAGAAAAAGAATGAAAGTGACAAATTTAACAATTAACATGAATCTGCATAAAATTTGAAGTGCTAACATACATGTATGGACTTACTTGAAAGGTGACAACAGAAATTGAGTGAACTACGATTACAGTTTATTTGTTGTAATTTTGAATGATATATTTTTCATTAGCCAAAATGTTGTTGAGATGGATGCTACTGCAATAATTCATTCATACAAACTACTGTAAATTACTCAAAATGTACAAGACAAGGCTGGATGTCAAGGTCTTGTGCACCTATTGGCTGGAGTGTGATGATGATGATGGTGATGATGATGACACGATAGTTATAATACTAGTCATGATTATGTTTTTTGTCGTAAGTCAACAATGAAAAGAAACTGCACTTTTTTTTATTCCCTTGCTCTTTTATTTTCCCATAGGAATAGATTCCTTGCTGTGGGAGCAAGCAAAAAAGGACAATCCAGATACTGAGAGGTACCTATTACATATCTAGCTAGGCAAAGCTAATGTCTGTGGAATATGTACACACACTTACAAAGTTATGGAAGTTATCCATAATACTCCAAGTCTGTTTAGAAGGCACCAAGTGATTGATGGTAGTAGATTAATGAATGATCATTTGCAGAGAAGAAATTATTTAACTTTGGCACAATTGATTTTAATCAGAAACTCCTTAGTTCTGGCTATTGATTGAACAGAAAATGTGGGTGTTAATATATAATCATCAATTGCTTCACACTGTAATTAAGGAAATATTTTCTGTTCCGTATGATTATTGTATTTGTTATTGGACAATGCCAATCAAAATCAGTCATCCACATATAAAGGGAACAAATTGATTTATTTATTTCAAATCATATGTGTTACCTAATGGAATGCTCCCTTTTCAACTCCTTTGAGATGTCATAATTGAATATTGTCAATTGCTTGAAAGGTTGATTCCGGTGGCAATCACAGGATTTAGTGAACTAAAAAAACGTGAAAAGCTTCAAGAACAGGAAACTTTGCAGCATCAAAAGCGGCTCTCTGTGAGTTAATAAACTTTCTAAGTATATTTAGAGTATAACAAAGGGGAAGAGTTTGCATTCTTTACTAAATAAGTTAAACAGTGAGTTTTGCTTCTGCATTTCCATCAAAAAACTACAATTTCCAGTAGGAGAATGGATGGTTCATGCCATGCATGTTTGGAACATTTCGAGATGACGCAGTCTTCGCATTAGTATTATTATTTTTTTTTATTACCATTTTCGATCATAAGGTAAGTTTTGAGCCTTTCTTAGAAGAAAAGCTTCCTTTAGATGCCTTGTGTATTTGATAAGTAATTAGTATGTGTCTGCATATATTTCCACAATAATCGTCAAAATACATGATGTGCTGGCAAGTTTTCTCCTTAAAGATAACTGTTGGAAAAGACTTGGCATAGCTACAGATGAAGCAGCCTTGTATGTCATACTGTTTTGATAAGTTACCTGCCTCATCAATGTCTTGTAACCAGTTCTTGCACTATTTATAGCATCTATTTGTTTTCATTTGATTGGGTTCTGTTTTATTCTCAACTAATAAACTTTTCCTTAAAGGAAGACTCACCAAAACAGAAAAAGTTTCAATTGTTTGTTTCTGGTTAGATGCTTTATCACTTGGTCGGCGAATGAAGCAGGCTAGCTTTGATTCTTTTTGACCATGTGGACGTTTTTCTCTTTTTTCAATCAGCTTATACGTGAAGAGATTGCAGAGTTACAACATAATCACGGCACAACAATGGCTAAACTGGCACAATTTAAACGAAAACACTTAGAGTTAAGTCATCGCATACTGGAGGTAATATACTATTTGTTCTTACCAGGCTTTTCATACAAGTCACATTTAATTTGAGTTTCACAACTCGGGTTTAAAGAAAAGATTACTTTAAAACACTGGTCATTCACAGGTTTTCTGCTTTCGAGTGATTTGTGGTATTTGGTGATCTCTAAGTTTCGTTAAAAATCCTTTTTTGAAGGACAGGAAAGAAATACTCTTCTAGAAATATTTCCGTCACATTAAACAAAGACACGAAGTGCCTACTTTTTTTGTTGTAAAGTACTGATTGTTGATGTGTAGCGATCTACGTCACGTAGTAGTAATTTTGACTTAAGTAAGTTATAAAATGTTAAGGCAGTAGAAAGAAAAGATAAGGGAAAAAACACACTATAAATAAATCAAGATAGAACAAGGATTGCTAAAGATGGCAGAATTGAAAAGGACGATAATGATCGTGCACCAAAAGTACCTTGAACTTGACGGTTGTTATTAAGGTGATAACAAGATTTTAAGTGGACTCCAAAAAGAGAAACAGATATTGAACTTCCGGAGAAAATGTGACGTAAATCTATCATTGTAGGGAAGTTTTTTTCCCAAAATAAGAAAAAGTGAGAAATGAAAATTGCACCAGTTTATTACCAATTATGTAAGTCCTACAGTTCTTTTCATAGAAAGAAAGAAAAACCACGTCGGCGAAGTGGGTTTTTTTTAAAAAACTCTTCATTTTACGGAAAATTCGTGAAGAAAATCCAATTATTCGTGAAAAACGTTAACTAATGAAAACAGAAGAATGGTCGAATACTTTGCTGTAAACTGAGTTATATAAGAAGTGCCCACTTGACAAATAGATTGAATGTTGCAATGGGTCTCTTTACAGTAATAGATCACAGATGACGTCAAAATGTGGTGAGAACAAAGAGTGTCACACAAGGCATTGCTGTCCGACTGTAGCACGGGTGTTCTTACCATATTTTGACGTCTGTGATCTTTCCCTGTACAGAGACCCGCGGTAACATGGAATATGTCAATTTTTACATGATAAAAAATATCATAAGTTACAACCAATCAAAATGTAAGGGAGATTCAGCTTGTTATATAAATTATTACTGTCTGCGTCTATTGTCGCGATAAGAAAAGTGGTTAATCTTTACAAAACTGAGAGATATTTTTTCAGATGAGGCTAAGAGGATAAAATCGCTGACACTGCTCTTTGTTATGACGTAGTTTTGTGCTTGAAAATGAAGTTGAACGCGGAAAATGTTTCCGGAAATACATTCTATTTTGTCAAAACGTCAAAGGGTGGGGCAAAAGCTAAATATAGAGGAAAGGGTATCACGTACAACGACTTGTTCCACCCAGCTTGCCTAGTCATCTTTTTGCTCACGAAAATTTATATTTACTTATTTGTGCATAACTTGACCTTGGAGTTGAAAACTGAACATTTTCTTTGTTACTTTATTAGGTTATGATAAAACAGGAATGTCTCCGGAAGAGTGGTTACTCAGTACAGGCTGACGAAGAACAGCTCAGGTCAGTTTTGGTGCATAGAGCATTTTGAGGGTAGGGAGTCTATGGTTTTTTAATGAGTAAGTTACACAGGCACATTAAAAAATGGCACCTTTTATTTAAGAATCGCCCGTGGGAAACATCTTTAATTTCTCTTAAACTAGTACGTTGACACACACACACCCCCCCCCCCTCGCCTCCCCTGACTATTGTGGTACATTGTGAGTCAGGAAGGAGTATGAGATGATGACGTACGAGTCCAATCTTACCTTATTCGGACAAAGTTGGCAATTGGGCGTCACCTGAGTGGAAGACTACTGCCCGGAAAAGTATAGAGGCTCTGGATATTAGTACTATCAAGCATATTTTCATCACATAAGATAATTTTTGCGGCTACAGGTTTGTACATTTTGGCGCATGCGGTGACTCCTTCTTTTTTCCTGTATTTTTCCAATTTCTTGTGCGTGGATATGTATTATGTCAAGTATTAAAACATTCTGAATGGCAAATTATTTCAAGGGAAACGTCTTAATTACTTTGTGTTTCACTTTCATTCCCTTCAACTTTTTTTCTTTATTTCTTCATGGTAGAGTACAACTTGAATATCTGCATGCGGAGTTGAATGCACCCTCCCAATTCAAGGCAAGTCCTCAATAAATTAGTCCAGAAAAAAAGCATCAAATTCCTACAGGTGTATATGCGGTGTGAGATCATTTGCGCCGAAAATTCCCATGGTTTGTGTTGAAACTCAGTCGTTAGCGCTGACGACAAATCAGCATCGCAAACTTCAGTGCTTAGTGGAAGGATCATGAATGGTGAATCCGATAAATGTTTTTAAGCTATGAATTGAGGATCATGGAAGGAGCACAACACACGGACTGCATCTTATGAACAGGGTATAAAATATAGGTCGGGGTTCTACCCATGGTCCCTCGCGTTCAGGTTCCTTCGTGAAGAGCTTTAGGTGGAGTTAGGGAACACAAAGCGAGCATAAATCGGCTAGGTTGAAAGGTTCTGTAAAGGGAACGATGACTTATTATAAATAGTTGGTAATTTTGTGCCTGTCAGGTGTTGTTGGACTGTCATAAATGGGTTGATTGGGTTAAATTAGCTTCTTTGCTGCAGTTTTTTTCTCTTTTCATCAATAATTCCCTGAGTCTGAAAAATCACATCTTGATGTATTGAGCCGGCTGCAATTTGAATTCCAGCAGTGCGTTGGCAGTTCTGTCTTAAATGCCTGATAAAGTTTTGATTTTGACAATTAGAGGTAATTCTAACCTTTTTTCAACATGCAGGTAATTTAGTGTTAACAACTGGGTTGAAAACGTAAATTAGCCACCGTAAAGGGTAAAAAAGCTGACGTTTCGAGCGTTAGCCCTTCGTCAATCGCTCTGACGAAGGGCTAACGCTCGAAACGTCAGCTTTTTTACCCTTTACGGTGGCTAATTTACGTTTTCAACCCAGTTGTTAACACTAAATTACCTGCTATACTCTCCCACCGACGCAGCACCACAGTTTCTTTAGAAACTTACCCCTTTTTTCAACATGGCCTTGCTATCACAGGCTCGTTTAAATGAGATGATGTCACAGATCCGCTTACGGCAGAGTCAAGTTGGAGAGAGACTGGCGCGAGCGGACGGCAGATATGTAGTGGAAGGCGCTATTCAGGACCAACTTAAACAAGTGAGAGAGATCAACACCAATATTTCCTTAATGTTGAAATAATCAAAATCGCGAACCCGTCAAATAACATATATTTATGTAGGACTTCAAACATAAACAAACTCAAATAAGGCGAATGATTGTCTCTGAGTGCATGATAAAGTAAGGACCCCAAGAGGAAAAAAAATACTGCGCTGCACGCTTTCACCAGCCTGTTCCAGGCGTACGGTTGGTAATCCATATAGCTCTCTCTGCGTCATCCTATATTACACCAGAGAGGGGTAGAAGGGAGAATGGTCATTATGGAAAATCATTTTACTCCACTCGACTTGACGATGTCTATATTTTTTCTCTTTCTACTCTCTACTTCGCTGTACGTTGCCTTTTCACTCAACCCTAAACTGTACTTTTTCTACCATATTCTGCTTTACTCTCCCCTTTTGATGCTCCCCTTTCTACTCTGCTCAGTCATTGTATATGCTTTACTGTATTCTGTTTTATTGCTCTCTAATAATAAAATATACTGCATATTTCAGGGATTGTCCAGTTGGCAATCCCATTTGCACACAATATCAATCCTGAGTCTTGCTCTCAAAACTATTAGAGTAAGAAAACATTTCGTGTGAAGCGTAGGTCGCTGCGGTTAATGATGCTGTTAGGTTGAACGCGAAATAGTGACTTAACCAATCTCCTTACCAAAGGCACTTACTGGGTAAGTGTTGCTCAATACCCACCCCGCTACATTAAGTTTGATTTCGTAATGCTAAAAAAAACCTAAAGAATGGATAAAACTCTCAAGGTGATAATTGTGCCTTGCGGGATTTCAAATGTGAGTAGGAAAACAATTATAAAGAGGTCATGAGATTGCTAGCAATAATTTCAGTTTTAATTGTTATTTAACAAGATGATTGCAACTGTTGTGTCATTGATATCACTAAGCTGGAGTTCTATTTAAGAGCTTTGTTTTGTTACCATCTGACTAAAGTTGCTGCTTATTCCTTAGTACAGCAGAAGGTAATGTCGTGTTTGAATTAACTTAAACTTCACATTTTAAAAGTCAAAGTTCTGGGCTAGATGTGCTGGTGTTGTAGTAATTCTGTTAAAAAGTGTTTGTGAACTCGTGTCGTTTATTGCAGCATCTTGAGCGTCAACAGTTAGGCCTGATGCACCTTATAACCATCATAAAAGATGATCTTCAGGAGTTGGCCACCATAGAACGAGGACTCAGTGAGCTTCCTTCAACAAGGACATGATCAACACTGTTCACTTAGTGACCTTCGGGACTCGCTGACGACCTTCCTTCAACAAGCACATAATAGACAGTGTTGACTGCTCTTGTGATAAGAGTACGTTATCACAGAGAATTTCACATTCCTATACATGTTTTGTCCTCTTTGACGTAAACTATATGTGCTCCTTAGGCTATACAGCGTCGTTAGGTCAATAGTTTGGGCAAAGGCAATTAGTAGGTATATTGTATTAAGCTGCCAATATCTCTAATTCCTTAGGCTTTACTAATTGTCTGTGAGTTTATACTCGTATTGTGCCATCTTTTGTAGAACAAAAACCTTGCTGCTTAAACTTTAAGATTTGTACTCATATCCTTCAAAACGCTGCCGATACCATTAAGTTTTGCCCTCAGGCTTGAATGCATGTAAATGCTATCGTATCATACAGTAGAGTGTTTAGGAAAGTGCTTCTCTCACAATCACTCTCTTAGTTTCTTCAATTTTCTTGTGACAGCAGCAGCGTAAAGTTGTTGCTGCAGGCGCCTGTCGTCTAGTCTGTTCTTGACCCTTTTGACATCGTACAAATAAAGCGATCAACTGCGTGAATATGTTTATGACCAAGAGTAACTTCAAGGTCTACTGGCACCACAAGGCACTAATCTAAAGTGCTGGCTTTTATTTTCATTAGTGCTTTTGAGCTAATACAGCGCATATCTTGTTGATAAATACTCATTTCTCTGTCAGCCCAAGGAACATTGGCCAATTGAACATAGTTATTCTCACGTAAATTTCCAAACTGCTTTAGTTCTTTCATCAATAGTTGAAAGTTTCAAATTCCTCTAATCTGTAGTTTGTATATTCACTACAGATTGGATAAATTACAACTCAAATAGTCGCTGTTTAGCGACTGCAATGGCTAGAGTCCCTTCTTCTTTTGATTCAAAGTTTCTTCTTGAGTGAAAGATATTATATATGCCAGCTTTATACCAAGTGCCCTTAGTCTACATTTGGCCAGAAGTTGTAGGATATAAAATCAGAACTAATGAGGAGAACACAGCTTTCTTTTCTTTGGAAACAATTGATTCAGCCGGGTTATGCAAGCGGCGATGCATAGTCAGTTCAAGAAGAAAAGGCTATTGTGTGGTCGGTAGACAATGCTGAAGGCAAGGCCATCTATTTTTACTAACACACAACAGCTACTATTTGTTTAATGATTTCTATAGTAAATTGAAGAGAAAATACGATATACTGGAATTATTTCGAGAGTGAAAGTTCAATAAACACAGACAAGTATGTTTATGCAGTTCTGAAGTATTGTTTTGACGTTTGAACCGTAAGTCATTCCATGAACAACTGCCGACTAGTTTTTCTGTTGAGCTGAATTCTCAAAGCAACCCTCGTTGACTTGTTGCGATTTTTCTCAGCTGTAATGAAGGTAACTTGTACGTTTTTGTTAGAGAATGAAAACCTTTTATTCCGTTCCGCAAGGAAAGGAAGGCTCTATTTTTATACCACTTCCCACGCAATTGTTGTAACCGTTTAACTTTTTTTTCATGTTTCAATATTAGTTTAGTCACCAATAAGACGTCAAACGTTAAGCCTCCTAAGTCAACAATTTACTCTTCATTCTCAAGTACAAATATTTTTAACAATGTGGGAACTTAAATTTTTTTTTGGCAAACTGACTTGGACAACATAGTGAAGTGCTTAGTGGAATTATTGGACAATACCAGAAGGAATATGAGCTGTTAGTCGTAGTACGTGATGGCGGAACACTCTTTTTTGCAGGGTTTAAATTTATTGAATTCATGCTTACAGAAGCGTGATATAATAAGTCTGAAATTAATGCAAATTTCTGGAGAAATAGACGTCGGCTCACTGCCTGACCGGAAATAAATAAAATTGTCTTTGAACAGTAGCAGCCGCTCCAGGCTAGTTATCGGTCATACTTTTTATAGGTTACACTGTTCCATTTATAGCTCCTCTTTACTCTTCGTCTACAGATAATTTTCGTACACTGACTGGAGATTTGTGTGGTACAATCGATCTTTAACTAGCGTGTTACACCACCCGAGCAAGACTGACTATTCTGAAAAAATGTCTGACTTTGTCAATCTTTTGATTAACCGCTGCGAATCTGCCTCGGGTCACAATAATACTCTACTTCAATTTATTCACTATATTCCGATATCGTGTTAGGGTGCGAAACACCTTTTATCAATATAAATATGTTCTTTGACACTTAATTTGTTCTCTGTGCTTTCACTTTAAATCGACTGACATTTACAGACGAGGTTTATTGGTAAACTATAACTCTGTTAGCGACAGCCACACGTCGATGCAACCATACCAGGGTATTCCTTTAGCACAATGCTTCCATCCAGCTCAAAATACATCAAACTCATAGAGTTTAAACTTGTGGGTACACAGCATGCTGCAGGAATGTTCTTATTTAATCGATGGTGAAGGAGGTTTTGTATTATGGCGTGGTTTGATGGATCGTAATATTTATCGATGACTTCTGGACATGTACCCATGCAGTAATAAGCGCTGAATCCTCGAGGTGCTATAATCCATTTGTCCCAGTTTAAGTCACGAAATTTCACAAACAGTTTGTGTCTCGCACAGCTAACGTCTCCCACAGATCTGCGTCTTCTGTTCATTATGCCAGAAGTGTCTTGCTTGTTTTTGCCTTTACCTTTGTTGTGTTTATCTTCGCCGTTATGCCTTGTTTCGTTCGGAATCTCACTAAAAGGTCCCAACGATTTGTCTTGCTTTTTGTCCTTATCATCTCCGTAAATGACCAAGATCGGCTCTTTCCTACCACCAGTTGCTATGAAGAAATCCGAAGTTGGAATTCCAATTCCTTTGACTGAGATCCACAAACCGAAATTTCGTGATGGCCAAGAACTCCAAAACGACACAGCTGAGGTAACATTTAACACGACCCAGCCGCCAACTCGACGACATTTAACATGTTTGGTAGCCACTGTAGTCAACTTTTTCTTCCAGCTTGTGTTACCCTCTACAGGTCGGCGATTCAAACGATACACTGTCACCTTAAAATGACCATGAGTGTTCTCCAGCTTAGAACGTCTCTTAAATAATCTCAGCTCTGCTTTCTCTATTTGTTCATTGGGTTTAAGCGACGATAAGTTGAAGTACAAGCGACTCTTGTCCTCGCTGACGCTCGTGTCTGCAGTGATAAATAACGAGGTTAACAACGTTACAAATTACCATATTATATTCATGTAGCTCGATAATCTACTCATGTAGGTTTCTTCAGTGCAAACTGCTTGTATTACCGAGGATAATTACGTACCTCTGAAGAAAGTTCGTATGGTTTTCCCAGGAGCAGATTTGCCAAACTTGGTGAAGCCCGTTGTATGAGCTTGTTCCTTGTACAAGTCCATCACATATTTCGGTACTTGAGACCTACTTCTTGCCACGCTCGGCTTTTCCTTTATCTCTAACAAGTTTAGTAAATCACCTTGGAGGTTTGTAATCTCTGCTCCGTTCTGTAGTGATACTGGCGTGAAGCACACCAAAAGTAAAATAAAGTTGAGCGAATTCATTTGAGTACTCTGCGGGATATCCGTGGTCCTAGCTGGCTGTTGCAGTCATGGGCTAATCATCAGTCCGGTGTGGCTAGAATGAATGTTGCACTGATTACTGAAGTATCCAAGTGGTTCATTTGTGACTATATAGCCGCCCACTATATTGTTCACGTGCACGCCCGACATTAGCCAACAGTGCAACCAGCCACGCCGGAATTATCGTTAACAACCGACTTCAAAATAACACTCTAAAAATATTCAGTAGTGCCCAGGAAACAAACTAATATTTGGTGAGTTTCCAAAAACCGAAAAACCATACATAAAAGGGTTTTTTCCGATTATGGTGTTTGCTAAATTCGTATCGATTACTGTGTGCAATAAACCGATGAAATTGTGGTCACACATCGTTGAGAGTTGTTAAAAAAATTGTGCATGCTGACTTGTGACATTGCGGTCATTTTGCGGCTGATTGGAGAGTAGTTGAACAGAAGCCACTTCACAATGATGACATTCGTTTAGAAGTTCTCTTAATTAAACGGTAACAACTTACAAACTTAACTGAATAAATCACAGATTCGCTAAACCTAAAAGTGTAGAATAAATCTACATTTAGTTCAAAAGCGCAACCAAGTTGTTGGTTAAAGCCTCTTTTGTTAACACATCGAATGTCTGGGGTGACATTATTGTGATAGGGTTCTCAAACAAAATAGGAAGGCGTGATCAAAGGATAACGTTGGCTGGATGTGTGCTTCACTTGGTTTTTTTTAGTTTAACGAGAAATTACTGAAAAGCCTCCACCGAACTGGAGCACAAATTACCATATGGCAGGCGACATGAAGCAGTGATTTCGTATTGTGATTGTGTAGTTTAATTATTTATGCTAGTTTCATAACAGCAACCCCTTGGCGCGGTGTGGCGGTAACTTCATATCAGTCCTGCAGACAGCCAAATAGCCCAGAACGATATGAAACTGCAGTCAGACACAAATGAATTCTCTTGGAGTACCAGTCATTCCACACTTCATCGTTTGCTTTCTCATATATGGAAGCAGAAAACAACAAAAGGAGTATTGAACAAATTTATCCGAGCGTGGCCAATACTTTAGTGATGTCAGATCAGATATATTTTACTCAGTTATGTAAGTGATCCTTGTTGTTACATCCAATCTACAAGATTAAACTTTGTATGATCGCTGCCGTTTATTTTAGATGAATTTTGTTACATATCGACACCCACAGTTCTTCCGAGAAATCATAATTTCTTCTTTGTAACTCTTGTCTAAAGTGTCCAAAGAAAAAAAACCAAAACAGTTGTCTATCTTGTGGCACGGGTGAGAAAGTTTCAAAAGAAAAGATTCTGTTATGTCTCTACCATAGTAGGCAGTGTTTTGTAATTTTATTTGTTTATAGGTTGTTTTACGTTTTTCCTTCCGTTAGGATGGGGAGTGAGCCATTTCAACGTAATAACATTTCCCTTCACTGGAGGTGTTCGAGGAAAGCTATTGTTATTCAATAAGACCACACTACGTGAGTGGGTTTGACATTTTTTCATGACTAAAGTCACAAGGTGTGGATATTATTTTTGGAGTACTGATAACCAGATACTAGTGCAGTCTTTGTTTTTCGAAGAAAACAAAATCCAACACCATGGTGCAATATTTCAAATTTTTGTGCAGAGCACTGAGTTTGGTGAATATCGTCGTTGGTTTGTTTTGGCGAGTGTTGTCGTAACTAAGTCAATGAATCTTATAGAGATTTGTAGCAGACACCGCGCCTCACCGAGTCAAACGGACGTTTCTAGTATATGGAAAAAAATAAGAAGAAGCTAATATCAAACTAAATTTTCGACATTTTTAAACTCAAAATTTTATCATTTTCAAGCGTTGATGTCTGTTAGATATTCAAAGGGATGGAGTCCTAGTGACTAAGAATTCAAAGTGTCCATAACCAGCTTGGATCGTGAAAAGCTTTTATTCTGTTTACAACAGTCAACTTTTATCATTAAGAATTGCCTGAATTAATAAACGCTGAATTTTTTCATTTCTCCTTGATGCCTCCAGGTTATAAACCAGCTGTCATGCCAACAACTGATCAGTCTCTCCACTAAATCATTTTCCTACTTTTTATGCTGTTGAAAACTGGTGTCTCTTGTTAGTAAAACAAGGATCATGTTTGTGTCAATTTATCCTAAACCGAAATGCTGTAGACGTTCCAAACTTAACGGCCGACAAAGGTTTCTATTTTTGTTCGCCACTAAATTTAGCACATCTTAGCGATTTCCTTTATATTTAGCAATAAACTTTAATAAGCAAAGATCTTTCTGGAAAGTAACTAATTTTTTTACGCCTACTAAATTCATCAACTAAAAGGGCTCTTCCCAGGCCAGATGTTTTCAGGAAAAATGAAGTTATGTATCAAGATAAGTTTGCTTTTTTTTTAACAAATTTGGAAATAATTTCCAGTGGTATGCCTAAAGCCAAAGGCAGTTGACGACATCGACGGAACACGCCCATTAGGAGTCAATAGGTAAACAGAACTAAGACACAATTCGAAAGAAACTTTTGGCCAGTTATTTCGTCTAATCAAGCTGCCTATTTCAGACTCCTTGTAGACATCGAGGTTTCTTTATACGCAGTGAGTTGTTTGAAGAAATTTTTTTAATCAAGTGTTCGCAATAAGCTTTCTTGACGTTGTCTACTGATAAAATCAACGTTCAGATAAAAAGTTCGGCTGAGTTGAAAATGGTTTTGAGCACGGACAAATGCTTGACTTAATGTTATGCATATATTTTATTATCAGTGTCTGCTGGCATGAGAACATGAGAATAAAGACAACTGACGGACATGGCCTGCAGTAATTTTTGCGACACGAATTAGGAAAATTCAATCCTCAGCGGTTTCAAATCCTGGTGTTTTGCCGTCTCACAAGATTTCTGCGTGTCACGCGGTTCACTAGTTCTGTGACTGAACGATTTTGGCATCAACGTACACTTAAAACATATCGGTTCACGTAACTAAACAACAATGTTGTAACTAAATGGTTGTTTTAAAAATTGAATAGCTTTTTAAACAACGAAGAATACTGGGTTCAGAAAAAGTTGGAAATGTTGTTTATCAGTTTATAGAGGCTGTCTATCCTTGACCATTGTCCATCGTGTGACAGTTAACTAGCCAATCACATTGAATTACATAAAGTAAATCTTGCATATTAAGTATTTTCCTTCGAGATGATGATTCTATCTCTAAATTTCTATTTCTCGCTAAGAACCCGAAAAACAAAAAACCAAGATTGACAATATTAACATTGTGAGGATCTTGCTGACCAAATTAGTTACACTTAGTTGGAGATTTAAAGAGAAAATAGCGTTTAAAGACTGTTGCATAACAATGAAACAAACAGAAAAGTTGGAGAAAAAAGGGCGTACCCAAGGTACCGCCCGTTTCCATAAATTACGAGCTGTGTGGTGTCCAAAAACATTCTCTAATTATAAATCAGTACGGAGAGTGGGAAGTAAAAGTTGTCAAAAGAAAAGGTGATAACGATGCTAGAATTAAAAAGATATAGGGATTCCTTTCCTGATCATGAATTCGACATTAGGTTAACCCTAAAGGAGACCAGTAGGGATCAAAGTATAATAAGGGTAATTTTCAGGAAATTCCTGCATTGAAATCAAATTTGACCTTAACCTTCTCCACCATTAAGCGGATTGATATAATTTTAGTAAGTCCAACTGGAATATAAGTTACCAAGAGAATATTCTTGAACTTACCGATAGAACTTGTTACCATGGAAAGTGATCACCAGTTTTCACGCCAAATTCACAATAGGAGAATGTTAGTCTTGATCAAGTATTTTCTCGATACGAGAAAAGTTAGCAATTAATCTAAGTTGCAAAATAAGGTCGAAAAGAGAATAAGAGATGCAGCGGAAACGGTCATAGGCTGTGTATTTTTGTTCTCGAAAGCTGGCAAATATTGAGTCCGAGTGCCACATAATAAACTAGTTGCTTACCAACCTTACTTGCTCGAGCCGTAGCAGGGAATATTGGTCTTCGGTCGTTTTTCTACGGGCTTTACTACGTTCGATCCGCACTGCCACGACTTCAGTGCGACCCTTGCGTTCTGTTAGTAAGAGTTAATATTCTCGGTTCTAACTTTCTGATCAATGTCCTAGCGGGCTCAAAACCGAGAATCAGCCGTAGGCCCACATGCTAAGACACTGTCACGTAAATTCTATTTGAGAGCGGCTTGGCTCTTTCAAAGTACAGTCCGGTGGGTATCCTTTGGTTGACTTGGTTCAACGTGTGGATCTGCGGCTCGTCAACGAAAGAGGCTCTCAGTGGAGTTAAACCGTCAATTCTCAGAATTGCCTTAAATGTAACCGTTAGTCGTCAAAAAGGAGAGATTTCACCGTTAACCGTGAAAAACGCAGCTCAATATTGATTGACAAACGCTTTAAAGATTGGGAGCACTTTTTATGACAGATACCACAACGGGTTGTGTTGAACTAGTAACTGGGCTCTCCTTGAGTGTTTTGCAGCATGCTATGTACTTTTAGAGCATCTCTCGGAGTTTCATAAAGCGAGTCGCAAAGTGGGAAACGAAGCACCACTCTCACCCTGCCTCTTATTACCCAGTATCCCAGCTAAGTATGCTGGCCTTTCCAGCAATTTGATTCTATGGAACTTCACTATCAGCTACAATTTCCCAAGAAAGGGAAGTTGTCTGAAGCCGGTCGCCTTTGCATTTTTAGCGATGTCATCAGTACGGGCGACGAAAACCCAAGGAAGGCATTACTGTTGAGTGAACTGGTAGAGAACTTACGCGATAGCAAAAATGATCTCAAATGTGGTGGTGTTTTAGATCACCATATAGTGCAGGTGCAGACAACCATTATTGTTCACAGCACATGCCAATATTTGAACATGAACGAATAACGAGCGAAAACCAAAAAGGGGATAAAGGGAGAAAAAGAGGGAGGAAAGAGTGGAAAATAGACTATGTTTCGCACAGGCTTTGCTCTGCCCGCGTTAGGATTGGGTTCTTTTATACTTAGAAAATGAATTTTCCCATGCTATGGTATATTCAAGGCGAGAAGAATAAGGACTGCAAGGTTCTGCTCATGTTGTAGGTCTTGTTTCAAACAAAAAATTAGTTATTGCTGTAGGTCTTATAATTACGCTTCACAACACTTTTTCAGAAAAAGATTGAATAGGTCTAAATACAACTTATCATTCAATTTGAAAAATGAATGAGTAAGTATCAATTCTAACTCAAGGAAGAAATATATTCTTATAAACTGTCAACAGTCAAAGGCTCTAAAATTTGACCCGTCATCAACTGTCAAAATAGTACAAAATAAGCCCGACAACCATCGAAGGTATCCTATTTGAAACCCTCTTTAAAGGTTTCTTACAGATCAGCATGAACTGAATCACAACTTTATTAATCACATTGTTCATAGTTTGTTGAAGCCAGTCAGATGAGACAACCATTAGTCTTGAATTAATCAGTGACACTCTCCTCCATACATAAACATATTCATTTTACCGCACTTCCCGAGATTGCCAGTCAAAACGGGCCAAAACAGAATAAGAATCTCTTTCATAACTGGTGTTACTAAATCATTGATTCAAGCTTTCAAGCTCCATACGATTCAATCAATGATTCTCTGTCGTATCGTGTACGCGGAAAGTTTACGTCAGAATCGGCTGTCTTGCTCCGTTTATTTCCTTGATCATCAGTAAAATGAACCTGGCTACGTTGGTCTATCTTGTGGTTGGTGATTGACGAACTGTTTTATCCCTACCGAACGATTTTGAGTTATATATATTGGGTTTTACATCACTATTAACAATGGCAGTTCCTTGTCCCTTCCTTGGTCTTTCTTTGAGCTCATGAACTCTGAATTGATGATCGCTCTTTATCTGTTACTCGACCAAAAAAAAGAAACAATTGCTTGCAGCTCGATAAACCTTGTTAGGAATGCAAAAGCACCAAAGAAGAATTTAGATTTAAGATTCATGTCCAATAACCAAACAACTTTAATTGAAGACGTGATAAGATTCTCAAATTTCCCCCAACGGTTTCTTTGTTTCATCAGGGAAGACTGTGGATGCTACCACTTTAAAAATGCACAGTCAACTCTTTCGTATGCAGACATCCAAGGGAATTGGAAGAAGTGCCCGTCAGTGGAATTGTCCCACGGACTAATGAAGATTTGACAAAACCGAGCCCCAGTATTCTGTTGCTCTGTCAAAGGTCATATTTTCGTTGATTTGCAAATTCAGGACAATTTTTTTTTGGCCAAGAGTCCATGAGGTGTCCGCTTACGAGAGAGCGTAAACAAACAAATTTTCAGTTTGAAAAGTTTTCGCGACCGCCTACGAGACTGTCGGCACGGGAATCTGTAAATACAGAGGAATACAAGGAATCTGTAAATACAGAGTTTAACAGGGAAGTAAAAATGGGAATTGAAAAAATGTCCATAAGTAGAACTTTTCGCTTACGAGAGCGGCCGATAGCGGGGAGTTGACTTGATTCAAATCAATCCAACATCAGGGGGCCACCTGTTACGTAATTTTCAAATGACAAAGAAATCACGAATATTGGCAAAACGACTTTGAAATTCTCGTGACGAAAGTGCTTACAGGTCACTCAATGGTATTCTTACGTGTTAAGACGATCGAAATAAAAATTAAAAAACTAAATCCTGTATCATAAACGACCCATTCAACTACTCATCAGTAACATTTTCGTCCTTATAAAGGACGTGAATTTCGCAAATCCGTGAGTCGTAGTGTCACAGTGGCTTCTATTCCTTTTGTTGCAAATCACCACAAAGGCTGTACGAGAAAGTGTTCATTATTATTTTCGGATCTTGAGCACTAGTCGACTTATTGGCTGTATTTCTCATTATTTCAGTGGATTTTCCCTCTCTCTGTAACGCTCAGTGACACCTTGCTTTGTACTTTTCCTTTCTTCTGATTGGTTGCTGTTGAAAAGTGATGATCACCGTGGTCAGGTATTAGGCCTGAAATTTATCGCATCAAGGTTAAAACTTATTTTCCTGTCATCGATGATAGAGATGAGACATCTCAGCGAACACGTGTCCAGTTCCTGTAGTGCATGTGTTTATCATGTAGTGAAAGTTTATCCACTGGGTCCTGTTTCATGCAGGGAGCAGAAACAACAGGTTACGCGTAGAATGCCCTGAAAGTTATTTCCCGCCTTCCTTAGTTTGGTATTCGCTGTAGTTAAGCCTAATGGCCTCAAACGAAAATGAACGTGAGACTTGGGTTGGAAAACTCGATTTTATTCTTGCATTGATCGGGTTTTCTGTTGGTCTAGGTAACATTTGGCGCTTCCCTTACCTGTGCTTCAAGAATGGTGGAGGTAAGTCGTCAAGACGATCACATAGCGAATAAGCTTTAACGTAGCTCACAAAAAAAGAAAAAGGAGCTGCAACCGAGCTGGCTTGGGAATTTCTCTCTTTCGTAAAATCGGGACTGATAGACAAATTTAAGTTGCAAAAAGGAAATCTTTAATCGCAAATGCAACAGTATCGGTCGCAATGGCGGGCCGTGACTGACTATAAATGCCACGTGACCTTACGTGACCCTATGTGACCCCACGTGACCCCAAAGTCATTAGTTGATTCATGATCAGTCTGCATTTCACTCTCAGTCTCCATTTTACCCCTAGTCAGCGTGTTACACTGACTGCACCCTGGAGATACATAGTAATAGAGAGATTTAGAACCACATTTACGGCAGGACTATTGAACATGTATAAACATTAGAGAGTAATAGTTTTTAGTCTCTATATTGCAAGCTCTTTAAAATTACCTTGAAGAAAAAGGCACTGTCTTTAAACTCGTTCGCAGTAATCACGCGCAAGATGCGGTCCTGATAAAACGCCGACTGCGGACCGTGCAGACCGCGCTTTGCTTGTTGGAGAATTTTGTCAGTTTCAGGTCGCGAGACACTGACAAATTCATTCATAACCTATCACGCAATCGACGTCGATAGGAGTCCAGTTTCATCAATATTGTGCGGGTTTTTTTCGGCCTGAGAAAAAACTAGTACAACTCAAGTCTGAGCTAGATTAAAGCACTTCTTTTCGCTTCCACAATATAAAAAAAAAACTAAACGCTTCCATTGCGGCTCGAAATAACATAAAAAACCTTCGATCACATTCCGGCGAAACATTTTGCAAGTGTGAGAGAGTCACTGATGTTTGTCAAATGCAAACTTCAAATACTGTGGACAACCTTAATCTAGGAATAGCTTTTTGCCTTGTTTCTTGATTAAATGTTACGGTTACGAACTAAAGAGAAAGTAAAGAGGAGTGCAGTTAAATTTTTTTTTCCATCTGACGGGAATTTATCGTAGGTGACGTCGACCTTTCAACCGTACCAAATTACCCCGTGAGACTCCAAGCTCTAAACAGCTATATATGCAAACCAACGGTGACACACGTTGTCCTACATTTTCGATTTTAGGTGAAATTAAAACAATACTGAACAAATGTCAACATCTGACAAATGACAGATGTGAAACAGACCAACAATAATCAACATCCTTCAATTCTGTAACAACAGAAGAACTTCACAGTTAACAGCTCATCATAAATGCCAACACTGACACTATAGGCAGTAGGTTACTAAAACAAGGAATGACCAAAAGTGACATAAATTTTTTCTAAAAAAAATAAATATATGACTGTTTGGAAGGGTGTGGTTAGCTGAAAATTATTATGTGTTGCTATTTATTAGTAAATTTTAAAGCTGTTGGTAATGTTAATGTACCATGTAGGATGTTTCCTTATCCCATACCTGATCTGCTTGGTGCTTGCGGGAGTTCCCATCCTTATCCTGGAGGTTTCTCTGGGACAGTTTACCAGTCAGGGAGGTATCACAGCATGGAAGATTTGCCCTTTGTTTCAAGGTATTGAACTTGACATTCTTTGAGTGAAAGTGTTGCACATGTTAATGAGGCAAAAAAAGGCTTATCAATATTTGTGTATAAAACATGAAAAAGAAGGCTTGTCAGTTATTAAGGTGGGCAGTTGCAGGTGTTGCCTTATGTTCTAATAGCTCATTTCTTGGTTTGCTGAATGTTAGTACTTTCAAAGTGCTACTATGGTTAGATTTGCATCTGTCCAATGTTATCTGTTTTGGAAAAAAATAACAAGGAATCTGTAACAGAAGAATATTGTTTACTACTCTTGTTTTTATTCATATCAGTAATTTGGAATTGTGATACCATAAACAGAACCCAACAAGGATATCTCAATGATTTGTCGGCAGTATGAAGACCTTATAATTTTGTTACCATAGAAACATAACTTTGGGGTTCCAGATCTCTATGATGCTAGGTGTGTAACCATCTTGGGATTTTTATTCAGATATTTGCCATTGATTACTCCTCTACATGGTCTGGCAAGTGTACAAAGGTTTTATATTCTCCTCTTAATCTGGTTTCACTTTCATGACTTAAAATGATTAATTTAAAATCATCACCATTTACCATAGAAAACAGTGGACAGAGAGCTACCCAGGGAGTAAAAATGTGTGATTTCTGCATGAGCCCAATATTAAACAGAAATATAACTGTTTTTGGTGCAGGTATTGGATATGCCAGTGTTGTCATAGTCCAGTTTCTCAACATTTACTACATAGTTATCCTTGGCTGGGCTTTGTTTTATTTGTTTGCATCATTTACTTCCAAACTACCATGGTCTCACTGTGATAATCCATGGAATACACCGCAGTGTGTAGATTTAAGTGGTGCTGGCCCAAGTTCTTCAGACAGTAATGGACAGAATGTTTCTACAGTGGGAATGCTGAATGCAACTTTAAATGTTACATCCAATGCCACTCTTCAAAAAGTTTCTTCCAGCCAAGAATATTTGGAGTACGTCAGGATAAGCATTCTATGCCTTTTAAAAGTGTATTTCAATAACCAGTAGTATTACTAGTATTGTTTTAACTTTTAATGAGCATCATATGTAATGACATCCATAAAGTATTTCATAAATTATCACTCTCTGAAATCCAGCTGTCTTAAGTGTCATTTATATATAGTGGCTATTGTGCATACCTTTCAGGATGTTTTAGTAACAATTAACTTTCTTGGGGACTCAGAATTTTTTTCTCTAACCTATGCTCATGATAAGGCAAAAAACATCTTTCTTTATTTCTTCACCAAGCTCAAAACTGACCACCTCTCTTATTCTACTTACAAACACGACACTATTGACATTGCGAATCCTAGAAGTATGCAGGGTGAACCTCATAAGAGTGCAGATTCCAGAAAGTCTGAGGTTCAATTCCTCATGGGAATTCAGAATTTTTTCTTTGTCCCATGCTCATGAAAAGATGAAAAACATCTTTCTCTATTTCTTTATCAAGCTCAAAACTTATTATCTCACTTATTCAATTACCTTTCTTTTTGTAATAATTTGTTTTAGCTATCGAGTTCTGCGCATAAGTGGTGGTCTTGATGAACCAGGAATAATAAACTGGGATCTTGCTTTGTGTCTGCTTCTTGGTTGGATTATCTGTTACCTTTGTGTATGGAAGGGTGTTAAGTCTACTGGCAGAGTAAGTCTTACTCATTGTACTTTATACCTGCCTTGTGGTTTTATTGCTCTATAACCTTTTAGGTAGATCTTGTTCACTTTTTATGCTGACTGCCTTATGCAGATTTGAATGATATATTTACCAAAAGGAGTCGATCATTTGTCTGGAGTCAAAAAGTTAGAGAGTAATACAGTCTATTAAAAGTAAATTAAACCCCTTCAGGTAAAAGTCAATTCAAACAGTCTTAATCATTTAATTTAATATTAGCTAAATTTTGTCCTCTTTGCCAATAAAGTGAAGAATAACATGCTGCATTGTAAAAAAAAAAAAGAAAAACAAACTTAAAAAAAAATTTTAAAAATTATGTTTCAACAGGATAGTGCCAGGTGGAACCACATACCATTAGTGGTCATTATCAAAATAATCTCAACATGTTGACTGAGAAATTACTGGGCACATGTTTGATACCAGTTTCACATGACAAAAAGTGTGGCAGCACAAGGAGCAACTCGTCATTGAGTAACAAAATCAATACATGGTTGAAAGGAGTATGCAATTTTCTTACTTTAGGTTGATGTTGAATATACAACTAACTGCAATATCTCATTTCATTCCCAGGTTGTGTATTTTACTGCAACTTTTCCTTATGTGTTGCTGACCATAATAATGTTTCGTGCGGTAACACTTCCTGGAGCAGGAGAAGGAATCAAGTTTTATCTCAATCCAAATTTCACTCGGCTAGCTGATGGTCAGGTAATTTATCCTGTAACTGGCTGCAGCCACACTGAACACTGATTAGGGGGCTTATGCCATCATCCCCACAAAAGTCCTCCCCAATTGATCTGCCAAACTTAATAATCAGTCAGCCATCACTGATAAGATGCATTCACTCCCCACACTTTAACTGTGCGTGAGTTAAAAGGTATTTGATCAAGGTATATATGTGATCTTGTCTCTAATGTGCATGTAGGTATGGCTAGATGCTGGAACCCAGGTTTTCTTTTCATACTCTATTGGTCTTGGAACACTTATAGCACTAGGAAGCTACAACAAGTTTAGAACAAATTGCTACAGGTATCTAATGATGAATGTATATAAACTAAATTTGGAACATGTCAGTTATCAATTTATTTTTTAAAGGATCAAGTTGTAAAGTTTTGAGTCAAAGTATTATTTCTGGTGTAAATTAATTTACATTGAGGTAATTTAACATTTCTATTAAAATACTGTTTATAATCTGTGTTCTTTCACAAAGTAGACCCTTTCCTTTACTACTTAAAACAGTAAGTACAGTACTGTTGTAAGCCTTAATTGAGAAGCTGGCCATTTATCCCACCAAAGTCAATCGCAAGAGTTTGGCGGCCATGCTGTAGTTTTAGTTCACCTAATGGCATTGTGAGAAAAGTTTCTGACTTGCTATTCTTGTTTCCTTTCATAGGGATTGTATCATATTTGCTTGTGTTAATAGTGGGACTAGTTTGTATGGAGGATTTGTCATTTTTTCAATTCTGGGATTTATGGCACAGAAACAGGGAGTGCCAGTGGCAGAAGTAGCTAAATCAGGTATGGTTATGATCTATAAAGGTTAAGGTTACTCTAAACTACTAAAGCTAAACTACTAACAAATTTTTGGACATTTTGATGACAGCAAACATTGTTGATCTCCATAAATGTATATTTCCAAAAGTCAGCATATTTTGTCATAGGGAAGTTCTCAAAAAAAAGAAAGAAAGAGCAAGAAGAGTTCTGAAGATAAGCTATGCTTGTGGAGAACCATTGTATGGTTCATGGTTCTTGAACAAATGAGATAAGACATTACTTCATCTTTTATTGGATAAGACTAGTTAAGACTAGAAAAGTAAAATATTAATTCAATGTGATTATCTTGAATTTTGTGTGAACGTGAAAGAGTTTGGATGTCATATATGGTATGTGAAAAGGCCAAATATTTAAACGTGACAGAGTTTTACAAAGGGGAATAGGGAAACCTCTATAAACGTTAGTTGAAGTGTCAGAAGTCATCTTGTAGCATTTTCTTTTGAGGAGACAGTAAGCTGTTAATGTTCATGTTTGGATGGTTACTACTTTTAAATATAATACCCCTTTTCAGGTTTTCTAAATTACTTCAAAATAATACACAATTTACAAACTATGAAAAAATTAATAAGTATGAACTCGACCTCACTCTCCTGTGACCATTATTTTCAAGAAGAGAAAGAGGCTCTCAGCTATGCAGACTTCAGGGTATTGGTATGGCAAGACTTTTATGATCCAAGTGTTGGAATACACAGACTTTGATTACTATAAAGGGACAAACAGGAAACTCATTGTAAAGTTCCTCAAGGTGTACAAATCCTTGCATGTTTTTCTATCCTAATGAAAGAGGTAATAAAAAAAAAATTCAACTTGGCAGTATATAGTTATCAGTGGTTTAGGTGAAGAATAGAAAACCAATCATGAGTGCTTTATGATAGGACTCCAGATCTACATGTGGGAAATTTTATCCTATAAGAATGCTGTCTTTCTTATGATCTTTCATGATTATGGTATCATTTTAAAATGTCTGATTTATATTTTCTATCAGGTCCTGGTTTGGCATTTGTTGCTTACCCTGCAGCAGTGGCAGAGATGCCAATTGCCCCTTTGTGGTCCATCCTGTTCTTTTTCATGGTGATCTTACTAGGACTTGATAGTGAGGTATTTGTATTTACTATACCAAAGCTTATTGATGGCCTGAAGTATGTATTCACTTACGAGTCTTGTAGTGCTAAAGGTACTAAGTACAAGCATGCAGCTAGAAATTGAAGGTGGCTTTAATGAAAAGTATGGAGTTCTAAAATTGTTGGGTAAAAGCCTGCTCTTCAAGAATAATTACTTAATGTGTTCTATTATTGGAATAGTCATGCTGTGACAAGTCATTGTAAACACAGCAGGTTTTTTTTTAACCATTACAGTTTGTTGGAGTGGAAGGTTTTGTGACAGCCATTGTGGACTTGTTTCCTCATTATTTAAGATGTGGTTACCGCAAGGAAATCTTCATTGCTATATGCTGTTTTTTCTGGTTTTTGATTGGTCTGTCAATGGTTTCCGAGGTAAATGTTGCACTATGGAATTAACAATAAAATTCGTGACTTTTATTGGTAGCTACAGTGTGAGTCTTTTAAAGAGCACAAAAAAGTAAAAGTAATCATTGATGTATCTGGTCACCCCTTTTAAGTTTCCTGACAACTTTTAAAGATTCATTTATGAGCTTATGTTGAAGAATGAATTTGAACTGAATGTCTAACAACACTTCTGTTTTATATTTGGTTCTTAGGGTGGAATGTATGTATTCCAGTTATTTGACACATATTCTGCCAGTGGTAGTGCTCTACTGTGGGTCTCACTCTTTCAGAGTATTGCTGTTGGCTGGGTCTATGGTCAGTGGTGTAAATATTATATAAAATGTAAATTGAGGCCAGAAACCTGGCGATCCTGCACCCACACCATAATTTAATTTAAAACCCCTGTCAAGTTTTCTTGAAATAACTAGCCAAAGCCTAGCCTTGCAAAGTTGAGTTTCTTAATGTGGTTACAAGTAGAAGCAGACAATGTTTGGAAAGTAGTTGTAACAGAGACTATTTGTGGCAACTTTGCTACAAATCAAGACTCACATAAGTAGCGTTAAAAAGCTTTTCTATTCTCATAATTTTTTTCTTTACTTTTGGATAAATGTCCAAAAGGCTCACAAATTAACCTGAACTTTTGTGAAGTTCATTTACATGATTATATTATTGGAAACAATAGAAAAAGAGACATCCTGGACAAAGAGTCAGAGAAGGGAGTAAAAACATGCTTGTATCAAAGATTAAATATAACTTAGTTGGTTTCTTATTGTCTTTTATTTGTCAGGTGGAGACAGATTCTATGATAACTTGGAGTCCATGATTGGATTTCGCATCAACCCTTGGAGCAAATTGTGTTGGAAGTTTCTTACACCACTTTTCTGCCTGGTGAGTACTTTTCAAACAAATCATGAATTCAAGTATATTCACAATGGAAAGACTTGAGGGAATAATATTCACTGTGTTCATTCTTGATTTTTTTGATACTGCTTAAATGGAATTTTTAAGTTAAAAAACGACAGAAAACATTTTTTCTTAATTGATGCACAAGTTGAAAGATTTGACAACAGCCACTTCTTTTACGGTCCATAATGTACTTAATATTATGCTTTTGGCATCTCTAATGCAGAGCAGTTTGTGGCTCTTATTTTAAAATTCATTTTCAGGCCGTATTTATATTCAGCCTGGTGACATACAAGCCACTGGAGTACAATAATTTTAAATACCCTGTTTGGGGGCAAGTGATTGGTTGGTGTATGGCTTTTGCATCAATTCTATGCATTCCTGTTTACATGATTGTGAAGCTTTACTCTACTGAAGGAACTTTAGGAGAGGTATCTATACACAAGAGATAAAAAATATTTTGTTGTAGGCAATATTATAATGTTCTAAGGTGAGGATGTCAAGTGTTGTGATATATCAATTGTGGGACCAAAAAATAAAAATATGAGAAATGGAAAGAAAACGGCTCAGACAGATAAAAAACTCAGCATATTATAGCGGACCTGCAACACAGGGAGTCCACAAAGAAGATACTCACAATTCATTAGTTAGTCACATAAGAATTCTCTTGCAAAAAATTCTTTATTTTGTCAAGTGTGAACATAAAGTTTTATTGCACTCATAGATCTGGGGAATTTTAAAAGTAAGGTATTAAGTTTTAAATGAAAGTGTTTATTCATGTAAAAAAATTTCTTCTTAACCTTTAAAAATTTTCTCTTTTGCATTTTTAATGAAACATTCAAATTATGTCCAAACTGTTATTGGTGTATTAAAAATTTTAATCTAAAAAAATAAGTGTGTTCAATTTTTCCTCTCAGCGTTGGAAGAAGCTCACTACATCTGCAATTTCAAGAAGTGAATGTCAAAGTGAAGATAACCAGCAAAAGGAAAAGGAAGGAGGAAATGATCTTGTGTTGTCTTCCATGTAGATGACTGTTCATAGTTAGCTAATAATAGAGTGACAGTATGATAATCTTTTAACTCGTGTGATTTACACTGCACATAGCCAAGTCTAACCATTAATTAAGACTTTTTCCTTTCCTAAAGCTGACTTGTTTGCTTTTTTTTTTGTTTCTACATTTTCAATAAATTTATTTAACAGATGATGCTATTGCCCAACAGAATTTTTTACATACAGAGGCCTGCAATTTCTGAGTCAAGCAAAATGTTTGCAAAATTCAACCCCTTAAACACATTTTGCATGAAGAGTCTTGAAGAATAATATCAAAAATTCTTTCCCGTTACTTAGGCCATCCACTACACAGCACTTTACCCTCAGCAATCATTCCTTTTGTTCACAACAAAATCATGGTCAGAAAATAGACATGATTAAAATTTTCATCAGTCTCCCCCTTTAATCTCTCTTATCTCACAAAGATGTTTATAAAATAATTCAAATAGTAGGCGCGCTCTGATTGGCCATAAAACCATTTTACATGAGCGTATGTAAACATGGTTTTTGTTCCTCTTTCATTAGTTATTTTATAAAAGAAATGTAAAATGGTTTCCATGTTTACATAGCCTGATGGGCTTGGGAAGTTGAGAGAACACTCGATAAGCTGGAAACCACTCTGCTTCACGTTGTGGTTTCCTATGCTTATCTCGTGTTCTCCCAATCTCCTGCATGTTTACATCAGGCTATGTAAACACGGAAACCATTTTATATTTCTTCATTGATGCATTTCAATTTTTTTTTTTCACATTCTCAGGCTAATTTTCATAATATTCTGAATCACTTCATTGTAACTTTTAATTTTCCTCATCTGAATAAAGGTATTTTAATTATTAACTATAAAACTGCTTCAATTCTACCTAGAGTAGCTGATAGGATTCTCCTATCTAATGAAGGAGTGGATTAAAAATTCAAACACCTTATCCATGGGTGTGTAAGCTGTATGGAGAGTATAAGACTCTCTCATTTGCATTTCTATATAAATATTTTGTGGTCAGCTCTTGAGGTTTTTTGCAGAAAATTGGCCTTACAGATGTTACCCTGAAAAACACAAATTTAAAATAGTTTTCTCCCTCTGATTGTGTTATCTATTATTAATAAAGCCATATCAAATCTGTCTCCATTTCCAATACTGCTTATAGCCTAAGGAATAATTTAGCCCAACTTGTATTAGGAAAGGGTTTTAACCTCAGTTACATGCTACCCATCACATGCATGTGAAAATAAAACCTAATTTGCAGGCATAAGTCTCATCTTAAGCTTGCAGATTCTCTTTTCTGTTTTCCAATGAATTTTTCAAAATAAATAGAAACTGGTAAAATGCTAGGCTAGGTTTCCCAAACCTAGATGAAAAAAAAATCTTAGCCTTACCAGTAAATTCTGATTGGTTTCTTCTCACCTTTCTCCCTTAATTACTGGTTACAAACTTGCAGGAACATCATGAGGGAGGGTATAACTTGAATACACCAACTGTGCTGATCAAGTCCATTATAGCAAATCTCTTATCCTGAAGAATTTGATCATGAATGCCACAAATAATTAAACAAATGATGACCACAATACACAGTTCTTTGAGTGGTATGATGCTTTTCAAATTCAAAATAATAACTATAAAAAGTATTAAAAGTGAATAATCAGTATTGTCTTACACTGGTGCTTTTTGCAGCTCATACACACAAGTGCAGCTTGAAACCATAACATACAAAAATTCCTACAAGCTATCATTGCAGTGACACCTTGAATCATTCTGTACAAAATAATGTTGATACTCTGTTTTAATCCAAAGGAAATCATTGTTAAAATTTGGAGGTAATTTCATAATTTAATTCAAACATACAGAATGGTGTCATAAAGAATTGGTGGAAGTAGGGTCACACGGGAAGGAGTATAAGAGAGGTGTACAAGTAAGCAACTCTAGCAACCCAAGAACTATCCAATACTCATACCCTAGCTACATTCAGCTAAATGTATCAACCAATTATTTCACAACACGGTGAAAACAAACCTGTTTATGAAATAAGGGTGTTACTTTTGATCAATGCAAATTTCTCTTGATGCTTGGTGTGAAAAAAAGGGATCCTATTGGCTAATAATTATTACAAAACATGCCACAATGACCTTACATGACTTAGAATGCCATTACTGTAGTAGGCTATTTTAAAGAGGCCCCAAACAAGCCTCTCTTTTGAAACAAGGGTAAGTGTAAAACCTTGAATGTGAAAATAATTTTTATTCTCAAGCAAATAACAGTGAAATTTACAAGAGAGAGGTATTGCTCTGTGTCTCATTTTGAAAAGGAGATTTCCGAAATTCTCTAACTCCCCAATGTCTTCCTTAGTTTTGCTATCAATTTAAAACTATGCAGGTTTAAAGACACAAACAATGAGGCCTTTGCTTTCCTCTACAGGCCTTCCAGTTGTATAGTTTACCTTCATTTCTTGCTCTACTTGCTTTATGATATTTAATTTATCATCGGATGTTGACTCCACACTTCCTCCCTTTTTGCTTTTAACGCAAAGCTTTACTTGGTAACCCTTTTCCAGGTAACCTTCAATCCGTTTTATTCTGAAAAACAAATCTTTGAATTCTATCCTGTCATTAACTTTAATAGTCTTTGTCTTCGGTGGTTTATCTTCAAGAGAGCGAGCTCTAGTTCTTTTGTTGGTATGTCTACCAGTCGACATCAATCTGAAGACAGGCATATTTACTGAATCGTCCTTCTTAATCGTGTTCACCCGGACAAGTTCAAGCGATTTTTCTTTCGCCATCTGCAACGCTTGTTCAAATGACATCTCACCTTGGTTACCACCAATTTCGTCCACAAGCAAAACACTTCTTTGAGGGTGTTCATGTTGGAATCTTTCTCTCCTACAACTCAAATCAGATGTCAAAGAAAGTCTCCTCGATGGTTGCATATTACTAACCCAAGAAACACTCCTTTTTCTTTGAAAAGAAAATATCCTGAAAACCATGGTAAGAGGTGACGAGTTTATGGTGATTTGAGATCCGTAATAGAAACAAATCGTAGCTTTCGAAAACGACCTCAAACACAGTAGCGAAGCCATTTTGCGACGACTCTCACATGCTCTCTTCATATGGATAAGCGTCAGGCGTTCCAACCATCGGGGTTGGCGGGGAAACACTGGAAACAATAATATAGGGACGCCCAGAAGGAAAAGAAATTACAAGCGGGATGTGTTTTGAAGACCTATGTGTGAAACGCGTTCGGGCGCAAAAACACCTCGCCAGCCCTCACCAAGGTTCTAAGAGCCATAACATGAATATTTTCAGTCAGTTCCCATCAGCTAATTTCGGGTCACGTCTAAGAGTGCGCGTTGGCAGGTTATACTCCCTAATGGAGTAAAGGTTCTTCTGTGTTTCAAGTTCTCTTTAAAATTTCGTAGCTCCACACACAATTGTTCGGGTTGTCAATGAAAACAACTTCGAAGCTGTTTAGATTATAAAAATCCCTCAGTCGCAATCAATTCCTTTTAGTGTCTCAAGACCAAGAAATAAGTAATCACATCTATCAAAATAAGAAAAATCAGAGTGTCCGTAGCACGTGGTGACAACCCAAAACAGAAACAAAAAAAGCTATAAAAGTCAAGGGGCAATGAGACCGACCAAGTCAATCAGCTTTAGATTTGCAACTGGTCGCTGACAAGAGAGTGGAAGTTTTCTTCACCAATACAAAGAGTAGCAAGTCATACCCAGAGTAATCCTGTGTCACTGATGACACTTCACTGACCCACTTGACTCCTGAAAAGGGCACTGGAGTAAACTTTTCCCTCCCCAAATGTAAATTGAGTTTAGCATCCAACAACAAAAAGAGCATTCGTATCAATTTTTACATCCTGGCTACAGTAAAATGAAAGGAAGGGGTAACTATCTAAACTGTGGTACTGAATTGGTGTATATATAATTTGGTCTTTTAATTGAGTTGCTTAAGTAAATTGGCCACAATAAAGAGTTTCTAATGCTGAAATTTTCAAGTGATAGTTCTTTGTCAGCTTTCAAATCACTTTAAAACTGTTTGCCTCTTTGATCTAGATTGTCCCCTTGGTGCTCAACATGTACATATATAAAGGTGCTAAGTGATGAGAAACAAACAAAAGATTTAAGACAATTTAATGACTCATTTTCTAGTAGGCTTTTTACATACTTCACATGCATGCCATACGATTTATAATGAGTCACTGTTCTTGTATGATAGGCTTCATTTCCCGCACAAACAAAAATTCCAACCAAAAATTTTTTCACTATGACATAATTCCTCCAAAATCTTTAAGACCTCAGTTGATCTAAAAGAAAATACCAATTGAAGTTGCTGAAAAACCACAAGTTTGCAACATCAAGTATAAACATTCCCTAGGGAACCAATCAATCAGACCTAATCAAGGAATTTACTTCCTAGGTGAGAAACACCTCATGCATTTCACATTTCTTAATTAAAATTTGAATTTCATCACTTTCAGCGCTTGCTGATACTCATGTAATTTAAAATAACAACAATAATTAGAGTATACTGTTGGTGGTGTCATTGGCTTAAGTACAAAAGTAACAAACTAAAGGTTTACCAGAACACTGTCTTCCTAGCAAAAACAAATTCACTAGCTCTATTTGGAATGTTTTGTGCTTCCTTATGGTTGATTAGAATTGGCATTTAAAAAGCTTTCATGCATGATTATGTAATTTTCAAAAATTCTCAATTTTTGAGCCCTTGACAACCTCTTGTTGCCTTTAAGTGTGGATATTCCTTCATTATCAGTGCTCTACAAATATTCTCTCATCACACTTCACCAGTCTGGAGCTTGAGAGCAAGGCTTGGATTCATCTTGGCTTTTTTAATATGAACATGCATAGAGGGCTATTACCTTGATCATACTAGCTGTAGGTCTAACATAGCTATGTAAAGCAAAGCAAAGAAATTAGGACAACACTGTGTTCATAGTGAAGAACCTAACAACACAAACAGAGAAATTAACTAGGACACCCATGTAAATCAACAGTCTTCATGAAAAATCAGTTTTA